CCCCCCCCCCCCCCCCCCAACCAACCACACACCAACAGCATGGGATGTCTTTGTGTGATGTGTGTGTGCTGCAGATAGTGTCGTTTCAGAAGGCCCCGCGGACGTACCAGGCTTTGGTTCAGTTCTCGGCGCCCAACGAGGCCATGGGGGCCATGGTCACACTCAACGGCAGAAACATATACGACGGATGCAACACACTGCAGGTAGGGTACCCACACTCATCCCATCGATACCCATCCAGCACAGCAACAATAATCATCTTTGGTGTGTCTGTGTGATGTCTGTGTGTGTGTATCGTCAATCCATCCATCAGGTCCAGCCGTCCAAGTTGTCAGAGTTGTCAGTGCGCGTCAACAACAGCCGCAGCCGCGACTACACCAACCCCAACCTGCCCACAGACGAACCACCCGACGAGCGGGGAGGTGCACCACCTGCCCATGCCTCCACGTGGGTGTCCATGTGTGCGTCGATGTGTGTGTGTGGTTCAGGTGGCATCATGGGTCAGTCGCCGAACCGGAGTGTGCCCAACGGCAGCCTGGGGTCCAACTTCACCAACACGCCCACGTCCGACCCGTCGTCGATGTCCCACCACGGCCATCCCTCACAGTACCAGGGGCAGGGCGGCCACCCCGGCATGCCGATGTCGCCCTTCCAGCAACAGTTCCCCAACCAATCCGGTGCGTGAGAGCGAGCCAAAGGCAGGCAGCGAGGGAGGGAGCAAGGGGGGATCGCATTTGCCGTGTGTGTGTTGTGTTGTGTTGTGTTGTGTGGTACCACCAGATCAGTTTGGCCGTCTGAGTCTGTCGGCGATTCCGAACGAGCTGCGTTTCCTGAAGCAGGAGAACCCCAACACGCAGGGCACACCGGTTATCATGATCTACCACCTAGACCCAAGCAACCTCAATCATCCCGACAAGGTCAGTCAGGTCACTCACACACCACACCACACACAGAGCAGAGGGGGGGAGCGGCGGGTGGGTAATATGTGTGTGTGTGTGTGTGTGTGTGCGTGTGTGTTCATATAGTTGTTCAATCTGTTCAGCCAGTTTGGTGTGGTGGAGCGTGTCAAGATCTTCCGCGACAAGCCCGACACGGCCATGATCCAGTTCTCCGACCAGTTCTACGCCACACTCGCACAGCACCACCTACACGTAACCACTCACAAAACAAACGCACCCATCAAACACCGGCCGACCATCGTATACATGTGGTTTGTGTGTGTGTGTTATCAATCAACAGAATGTGACTGTGTGGAACAAGACGCTGCAGATCACCTTCTCCAGGAACTTCGAAGTCAGGTGAGGCATGGCATGCATGCCCTCAAGCAATACAACGTGTAAAACCATTGGGAGCGACCCACCCGACCATTCTTCCTTCCTTGCTGTGTGTCATCCGTCCATCCATCCATCCATCTATCCATCAGGCTTCCGCCCGCGGGAGCCGAGACGACTGAGGACATGCAGCGGACCAAGGCATACTCACAGAAGGAACAGAGATGCTCGGGGGTACGCGCACACACACACACACGCTCACACAGAGGGAGGCAAGTGATAGACGTGTGGTGAGATGTGGCGTCGTGTGTGATGTTGTGTTTGTGTCAGGGTGACGAGCAGGAGATGCAGAAGTATTTGAAGAACGTGTGCAAGCCGTCCAACTGGCTCTTCATCGGCAACCTAGAGGACCACATTCAAGGTATGTGGGGTGGGGTGGGGTGGGTGCGTCGGTCGGTCAGTCTCCCGCCTGCGTCCCTAACACCCAGCTGTTTGTTTGCATGTGTGTGTGTGTGTGTTCAGAGGATGACATCCGTATGCATCTGTCCCCCTTCGGTCACCCCAAGACAGTGCAGTTTAAGCGCCCCCAGGGCCCCACCGCACGACACATGATGGCCGTCGTAGAAATGAACTCACTCGAAGAAGTCAGTCAGCACACAGACACACAGATAGATAGCCAAGGAACGAAGGAAGGCCACACACCAGACGTTATCTCACCTTGCTGTCTGTGTGTGTGTGTGTGTGTATCTTTCCTCCAGAGTTTTTCGATCGTGATGAACTGTCACAACACCAGGCTGAAGGAGAGGTGAGCACAATGACCTCAGGCACGCACGACGCACGAGCTGAGCTCACCACACGCATGTAAATCGCATTGGTCTCTGCCTGTGGCTTGTGCTGTGTGCTTTGTGGTTTGTGTGTGTGAGGTATAGGAGCATGAAGATCAGCTTTTCCAAGCAGGGGATGGTCCAATAGACCGACGTATACGATACCCTACCCCAATTTACCCCACCCCAATCTACCCTACTCCCCCCTACTCTGCTCTAGTCTACTTCCTGCCTGCCTGCCTGCCTCACTTGACCAATCTGCTGCTGCTGCTGCTGCTGCCTAGCTGCCATCCGCCCCTGCCTGACTGACTGCCTAACTGCCTCGTCCGCCGTCAATGTCTGCCCGTGAGTGTGTGGATGTCGTCTGTCTGTCTGTTTGGTTGCTTAATGCCGGTTCACAAGAGTTTTGCACCTCAACACGCTTCTTGTGGGCGGGCACACGCACTCAGCACAGCACAGCACAGCACAGGACGGCAGACGGAGAGAGGCGGGGCGGACGGAGCGGCCTCTTGCCAATTCGTGTCTGTCTGACTTAAGTGACTGCCTGACTGACTGCCTTGGTCGAGTGCGTGTGTGTGCGTGTGTGCCATCCTTCATGTGTCGACTCTCTCCCTCCTCCTACTACTCGCTGATCGATATTCTTTTCTCCTGGTCGCTCGGTCGCTCAGTATGTCGGTCGTTCGGTCGGTGTTGATCTTGATGCCTCTACATATTATCTAGTGCCTAAAGGAAGCACACTCCTGCCTGCCTACTCATTCATCATACTCATGCTCCTTCCTTCCCCGCATCTATTATTCCATCCACCCAAAGGCGATGCGATCCCTCTGACGAATCTGACCGGCCGATCTGACGTCCATCCTTTCCCTCTCTCTCTCTATCCGACGCACGCCTCGCCTTGGTGGCTGGCTAGTGGTGCATACCATGCCCGTGTGTGTGTGTGTGTGCGTGTGAGTGTCCTTATGAAGCGTATGTGTATCTTGCCCCCTATATATGACGACGAGCGAGCCAGCGATAAGGGAAGGAGAAGGGTTTTGTTCGCGAGGACCCGAGACTGACTCACTGACTGACTCATGAGGTGAGGAGCAAGTAGAGAAGAAAGACAGCGACGGAGCTAGAGAGTCATGCATGGGACAGGGCAGGGCGGGGCGGGGCGGGGGATGGGCGCCTGTTGGTAAGTAGACACGTCGGCTGGCGGACCGGCTGGTGGGTTGGCTGGCTGGCTGGCCTCCCTGCGTAGCAATCCATCCATCCATATCGCATTCCATCCTCACTCCATCCCGCTCCCTGGGCCACTCCTGCCTGCAGCTGCTGCCCTGCCCTGCCCTCCCTCCCTCCCTCCCTCCCTGCCTACCTCCCTGCCTGCCTGCCTGCCTATGCCCAAGTGCTATCTACTTTTTGGTTTACACACATATACCGATGATCGATCTGTGGAGCGAGAGAGCGAGCGACGGCCTGCGTGTGATGCGTGTTTTTCGTAGCTGGATCGGCCCGGCCCGGCCCCCAGCTGCTGGGTTGGTCTCTGACTGGGTAGCTGCCTCAAATCAGTGTGGATGGACAGATGGACGGACGAGTAGGTAGGCATTCATTGATCTGATCGATCTGGGTGCCTTGGTTGATGAGCGGGTGGGCGGGTGACTGATTGTTTGTCCTTCCTTCTCGATGTAGCTATCTATCTATCATCTTTGTAGGAGGGGAGCAACTTGGGAGGAGGCGGGGCGGTGTAGGGGGCGGGGCGGTCAACACAGTGGCAGGCCAAGGAAGGATCGGTGTAGGGTGGCTGCCCTCACTTACACACGCTCCGCTCCGCTCGCCCACACTCACTCAGTCACTCAGTCGCTATTGATGTCATGGATTATGCATTCGCATACTCATGTCATGCAGCCACGCTGTGTAGCACACCAACCAACGAACGAACGACAGATGATCTCTCCTTTCTACACATACGCCACACCACACCACACACATGACACAGACACAGGCACAGGCGGGGTGGGGTTGTGGGGGGATCATGGGGCGGATATACTAGGCCGGCTCTGCCTGCCTGTGTGTATGAGTGAGTGAGAGTGCGACTGTGGGTGGGTGCGTTGATTGATTTGATGCGTGTGTGACGGATGCTTTATTTGTGGACTGCACGCTCGACGGAGAGCGAGCGCATTGGTTGCAAGCTATGATACACACAGAGAGAGAGAGCGAGGGCAGATAGAGACACTGGGCTGCGACTGACGATGGGATGGAGGTGGGTGGGTGCGTAAGATGCTCCCTTCGCCTTCCGATGGATGGATGGATGGACTTATGCGATTGGTTGATTGATGACGTGATGCTCACTGTCTGTCTGCACCCCCCACAGTTTTGCCGCCACTTACTCTCTTCGCTTACTAACTTCCTGCCTGCCTGCCTCGCTGTCTCCTCCCTTCCTCTTCCTTCCCTCACTCAATTCGGTTTCTCTGCGAGTCTGTGTGGGTCTCTTGCCCTTGTGGCAGCTACCGCACGTCGCTGACTGCAAGACACGCCTGCACCCATACGTACCCCTTCGTGTGGAGGTGCAAGCCAGCTGCTTGAAGTGACGTACGGTGGCTGGTGCAGCCGGAAGGAGGGGACACATGACTGACGCAGCATGACACCATGAATCGAGAGGTCTGTTTGCTTTCGTTTCATCCGGTTGGTCTATCAACTTTCTTGTAGCCGCTGTCCCGCTGATGCACTCATCCCACTCCCTCCCTCCCTCCCTCCCTGCCTATCTCCCTCCCTGCCTCCCTACCTTTTTCCTCCCCTGTCTGTCTGTCTGTCTGTCCCCCGTGTCTACGCGCGACGCTGCACGAAGCTTGTTGGTACAGATGTCTTTCGCTGCCCCTGCCTGCCCTCCTGGCGCCTTCCTTCCTCTCCTTTTTCGCTCCTGCCTCTCTCTGTGTGGCGTCGCGCGGTTTGGATGTCTGTCTGTCTGAGTGGGTGGATGGATGGATGGATGTGTGTGGACTGAGTGAGTGTTGTGTGGTGTGGTGTGTGTGAATTGAGTGAGGGGCACTGCGGCGATGAGTGGCATGCTCTCCGTGTACTGCGTGTGATGTGACCATGTGACCATGTGTGTGTGTAATGCATACGATGAATACCCTACCTACATGCCATCCAAACCAACGCCCAACGACTTACTTACTGACTGCCTTGTATGCCTTCTATGCCTTCCTAGTTTTGCACCCAAAATGCACCCATACATACCCACACCAAGCATACCTACAAACGTCACTGTGCCTGCCTGCCTGCCTCCCTCCCTGCCTGCCTGTCTGCCTGCCCGCCTGTGTGTGTGTGTGAGTGGAGTGCGATAAACGCAATGAATGAGTTGCCGCAGCAGACAGACAGCGAAAGAACAGAGAGCCTTGTTCGACGGATTGTGTGTTTGGGGTGGGTGTGATGGGGTGGGGTGGGGGCGTTTTGACTGAGGGAGGGAGGGAGGGATGGGGACTAAATGGCGGCATGGGATGTGTGTTATGTCTTTTGGTGCTGCCAGATGCATTGCATTCGTTGGTTGCTTCGTGGTCGGGAGCTAGCAGCCAGCTGGATAGAGGATTTTTGATGCGACACGCAAACCAGGCAGGGAGGAGACGGCTGGCTGGCTGGCCGTGCAGAGCAGTGCACACGCTGACTGGGGTAGCTCAGTGAGTGAGGCGAGGCTTGGCTTCTCGCGCGCGGCGCTGCACGATCTATCTTTCTACTGATATGTCATCTCATGCATGGCTCCACTCCACACATGGCTGGGCGGGTGAAACCCACATATACCTACCTGGCCACCGACACACACACACATCATGATGGTGTGTCTGTCTGTCTGCTCAGATTGATTGATTGATTGCACTTGCTCACTCACTGTCCTACTGAGCTCCTTTTGAGTGGACTGACTGACTTGTTGACTGATTGTGGATGGATGGATGGATTGACGGGCGGATGGACGGGTCGGTCGAGTTAGTGAGGGTGTGTACTTAGCGGAGGGGAGGACTGCATACAGGCCTGCCCCCGGACATAGATACGCAATTGCCGGCCGGTGGTTTCGATATGCAGGCAGGCAGGCAGGCAGGCAGGTGAGAAGGTAGACAGACAGACAGATCCGGCAGACGTGTGCAAGAGCCTTGTGTGTGATGATATGACAGCTGAGCGAGATGAAGATGCACGTACGTCAGTCGTGTGATGTGACAGACCAAGGGATGCGTGAGTGGTAATGAACATATGTGCAGATGTCCAACCACACAGAATAGGGGAGGGGAGGGAGGCAAGGTGAGGTGCCTTTCACTCTCATGGTTGGTTGTCTCATCGTCGACCGATGGAGAGATAGATAGACAGACAGACAGACGACTCACTGTACACACAGAGGAGCGGACAAAGAGCTGACGAGGCTTATCCAACACAGACACACACACGCGAAGGCCCTCTCAGAATGCACACGCCCTGCCCTCTATCTTTTTTGACCGACGCACTTCGTCACATGGGCATGGGCAGCACCGACGGCAGGGGCATGTCATTGCCGTCGTCCATCATCAGCGCCGCATCGTTCATGTCCTCGTCAGCAGCGCCATTATTGTTGTTGCTGCTGTTGTGCTGCCGTGTGGGTGAGGACAACTGTGTGTTGGTGTGCAGCTGGTAGCCGTCGGTCGATGGGTCCAGGGGCAGCCGCGACAGCAGAATGAAGATCATCGGCGAGGTGCGGCGGTCGGCTCCCGTCGCCTGCACTCGCAAGCGCCAACGAAGGTGCTGTGTGAGTGTGTGTGTGTCCGTCCAGTGTGTGTGTGTTCGTGCTGACCAGGAGGCCGTCGAAGGTTGTGATTTGATGGATGACGGGCAGCCCCGACAGCCGCTTGACGATCTCCGCTATGCCGATGCACTTGCCCATTGCAGTGAACCCAGACGTCAGCATCACGGCGCCATACTGACGGTTGAATGCACAGCAAGAATGTCAAGACAAATGTGATTAATCAGTGCGGATCTCTCTGTGTACCTTGTCGATGCGGTTGAGTGCCTCTTGGATGTAGTCCTTCATCTGTTTGCGGCCTGCTGATGACACCGCTAGATACTGAGGCGGCCTCTCCCCTGCCTCCGCCCTCTTGGCCACCTGCTCGTCGGATATGGAACGGGATGGGCCCGGCTGAGGAGGGCTGCCGAACAAGTACGCTGCGCTCGTCATGACTGGCCTCCTGTCGGCCTCCACCGATGATTTGATCGCACTTCGTTAAGCTCGCAGAGAGGCGAGAGGGAATTGGTGAGAGATCTGTGGCGGATCTGTAGCATCTGCGTCATAGGGCGGATGGTGTTTGCGGCGGAGCAGTTCATCTACGGCTTTGGCCTCGGCGGCCTGGGCGTCTGGGTGCTGCTTGAGCCTCTGCTCGTCACACTTAGGCGCACCAAGTATCATCTGAGGAGGATCATTGCCCAGGTAGGGATGGAGGAAAACCCTGAAAGTGCGCTGAACGTGACCTTTTCTGTTTGCGTGGTGTCATGTCAGGACACAGAGTACACGGAGTACGTCGACAGGAAGCCGACACTCATCGCAATCGCAACGCCAGACGGGTACGTACCCTTTGCAAAGTCATGCACCACGCCGGATCGGCTGTCTGCTGCTCTGTGTGTGGGTGTGGGTGTGTTGCAGCTGGAACAATTTGCTTCTGGCGACGTACGAGCGGATGGATAAGTCGTGGCCCGACTCGTGGTCAAGGCCGGCATGATGACTTCCTACAAGGGTCGGGCTGTGGGCGTACATACAGAACAGCTGCCTGTGTGCCTGTGCTGCATGGAGCCACCTTATAGCTGCGAGCGACAATGTTGCATGGCTGAACACGCCATGAACGATGGATGGATGCTGCACGAACGTATCCATTCGTGAGTGAGAAAGCAGACGTTTAACCGTTCCATGCATGTCATGTCAATCCGTACTTAACAATCGACGCGTCCAATGCACATCACATCATATGACTGACTCATCTGGTGCACCAGATTCGCATGCGAGCGAGACCAGGTAGGTCAGGGTGGCACTAGTGAAATGGATGGATGACACACACACGAACATCTCACTCGATGGGCACAGCTGTCATGAATGTGTCCCCCTCAGGCTGTCCCGCCTTGTCGTCTTTCACAGTCCTGTCTGGATCCACCGATTCGCACTCGTCCTGCTGGGTGTCTTCCCGTGCTGCTGGGTCGGGGGCTTCGCCGAGCGGTGGGGACGGCTTGTGCGGCACCAGCTTGGCCAGTTCGCCGACATCTCGCCGCAGCTTTCGTTTGATGGTGGCCATCTGCGGCCCCCTCTCGTTGATCTTCTGGAACAACAGCCGCAACACGCGCTCCTTGTCCTTCCACGCCAGCTCCCCCAGCGGCACTCTCATGTCGGTGATGTCATGCAGGTCCCCTCCCTCCTCCCTCACTCGGCGGATGGCCCCCGCCAGGAATGTGTCCCTCTCGCCGCCCTCCACCGACACCAGTGACCCCTTGCCGCCATGCCGCACATACGGCAGCTCCCGAACCTTCCTCGCCGATCTCTGCAGAGAGTCTTTCGGCAGAGGACGCAGCGAGGTGCCGCGGGCCCGGTCTTTCGGCAGTTTGAGAGGCGGGACATTGGGCGGGCGCGTCTGGCGTCTCTCCGGGGGCGGGTATGTTGCGCGCATTCGCTGCTGCCGCGCTCTCGGTGCCCCCCTGGCCGGCTTCGGCTGATCGGGAGGCTTGGCAGATGGTGGCTGCATCAGGGACCGGCCGACGAGCTGCAGCTTGTCCAATGCTGACGGCGCCCTATCGCTCTCATCACAAGGGGGGGAGGGGAGGAAGGGGGGCGGGGGTATGGCGCCGGGCGATGGCCGCGATGGAGGCGACGCTCTCCGAGCTGGCTTGGAAATGGGTGTGCTGGGGTCGGACGTGACTTCATTGACGATCGCCAGCGACCGCTGGCTGCTGTGGGATGGCACATGGTGTACCGGCCGCTGCGTGTAGAACGAGGGCTGGTTGGTGGGCGGCTCTATCGGCATGGACGGCACATGTGGCTGGGGGCGCGTCGGCAGGTCAGCACGGGCCTCGGGGCGCACATCCGGCCCGGCCCCAGACTGTGCGGATGAGACATGTGCGGTGAAGAAAGAGGTGGCGAATGAGTCCTCCTGCACAGACGGGAAGGTCTGGCTGGTCTGGTACTTCTCGGCGGCGGGTGCTGGAGGGGGCGCCACGGGGGCGGGAGGGGCAGTGGGGGCGGTTGGCTCAGGGAGAGGCAAGGCCTCTCGTTGGGTGGGGCTGATGGGGGGTAGAGAGAACTGCATGATGCGCTGTCGCTCTTCTTCTATGTCTCGCTGCCTCCTGGTCAGCCGCTCTGTCTCCAGCTCTTGAGACACCTCATCCAGGCTGTCATTCAGGAACTCCTGCAGCAGAGCACGCAACAGCCAGCCATCGGTCGGCCGGTCTTTGCCACATGGCGATTGCTTTCGGGGCGCACCTCAACACGAGAGCGCAGGCCCAGCAGCTTCTGGCAGTCATCCTTAGCCTTCTGAGTGGCAACGGCATGGTCATGCACAACTCGATTCAGCCTCTCGACCTCTTTTGCCTGCACCCGGCACAGCTCAATCAGCTGTTCCTTTGACGTGGGCGGCACATCGGAGTCAGCCGAGGTCTTTCTCCTCCCCTTGGAGGGCCGTCTGATGGTGTCTCGAAGGCCGGGGATGCTCTTCGCGCGGATCTTGGGCGGCAGCGGGGGCGCCGTCAGTCTCTCTGTCAGCTCATAGGCTGAGACACGGGGGCCCTTGGTGGCCATCTTGGAGGGGCGTGGCCGGTCGGTGAGGGGAAGGAGGCATGTGCGTGACTGGTCGATGGAAGAGGGGAGGGCGGGGAGGGGCTGACCGTCGAGAAACGTGTCCACATCCTGCCTTTCTCGCTTCAGCTGGGCTGATAGGTTCTCCGAGTGGCCTTCGAGTGTGTCGATCAGCGGCAGCAGGGTGGTGTTCATCTTGCGGCTCTGCGCCAGATGTGAGGTGGCCTTCTTGAGCATCTCCTTTGTGGTCTCGTGCTGGTGTCGCTCTTCCATGAGCTGCGACTTGATGTCCTTGATTTGCTGCTTGAGCTGCTGTCTCTCCGTCTGGTAGAGCTGCACCTCGCTCTGCCACTTGGACGACAGCTGCTGCTGTGCCTTTAGGTCCTCACCCAGCACTCGGGCCATCTCTTCTTGTTCGGTCGCCAGTATCTCGCTGCGGACCTTCTCTTTCATGCCTGCATGGAAGTTGTTGGGTGGGTGTGGTGTGAGAGACAGAGAGAGACAGTGCGCATCGCATCGATGGCTTGCTCTCACCAACCGGCGATTTGTTGGGTCTTTTCTGCCAGCTCTCGTTCGTGTCTCTTGGTCTGGTCGTAGAGGGTCACTTTCAGCTTCTCAATGTCCTCCTGCTGCCGGTGGATCTCCTCGTGGTATCGCCGCTCGTCGCGCCTGAAGGCCTCGTAGGCAGCAGACTCGGCCTTGAAGGCCTCGTTCTCTTTCTTGAGAGCCGCATTCTCCCGTTGCAGTGCATCCAGCCTTTCCTTTGCCCCTCCTTCCCACTTGCTCCTCTCCTCGGCCAGCCTGATGGTGAACTCCACCTCTTGGGACTCGATGTCCCGCTCGAGACGGCAGATGGTCTTTTCTCTCTTTTTGAGCTCCTCGTGCAGCCACTCGGTCACCCGCTGAGATTCCCTCTCCTGGCTCTCCAGCTTGTCGGCCATCAGCTCATGCTGCTTGTGCAGCTCCTTGATCTTCTCGGACTGCTCTTCCACCCTCCTCTGCAGCCGCTGGTGCTCCGCCAGCATTGCAAAGGGAAGCTGGAAGGCATTCTCCGAGTCTTGCAGGTCGGCGCCGGGGCTCGGCGGCCGCCGGTGCTTCCGCAGGTACTGAAAGGTGCCCCTTTTGGTTTTGATGGAGACGTGCTTGGTCCTTTTGAAGTAGGAGGAGGCCCTGGCCTTCCTCGTCAGGTGGGATATGTGTCGGTCGTGTGGGGAGGCCGTGCGTGCGCTGCTGGGGCGGCTCTTGTCCCAATGGCTGGTGGCCGCACTCTGCGAGGAGAGAGGGGTAGAGGGCATCGACTTTGAACGGGCTGACATCTTGGAGTTTGCCGATCGTCTTGGGGCCCCCGCCCCCACGAGATGATCTCGCTTTCGACTTGGAGAGTTGGAAAAAAAAAGAAGGTGGAGCGCGTGAGCAGACAGATTGACCGCTGCCGAACGACAGTGCAGACCAGCTGACTGCTGCGACCCGCACCATGAGCCTCAGCAAGTGCTACGGCGCTTCATATCAGGAGGGGTGGTGGTACAAATGGGAGCGGCGGGAGGGGATTCTGGTGGTCGAGGGCGACCATGGCAAGGGCGTCAGCCTCCGGGCGACGCTGTTTGAGAAAGACTGCAATGGCAGAAGGGGCGATATCGTGATAGGGCCCGTGGACCTCGCCAGTAAGGACATCGACAAGTTCAAGTAAGTGCACGAGGGAGATCTCCATGCATGCACACAAAAAGACGACGTCACACATCTGTATGATGTGTCATGCGTGTGCATGCATTTGTCTCGGGCTCAATTCAGGGCCGAGGACTTTGAAGATGAGGTGAACGGCGAGCGATACACCGTGACGGTTGATGATGACGAGGAGCTCTCCGAGCCGGGGAGTGACTGCAGTGACATGGACGAAGACGAGGGCAGCACGGGCGAGTCGGACGAGGAATGATTCCACTCACGGCTCGAAGGGGGGAGGGGGAGTGAGAGGGGAGTGTGAGGAAGGTTGTCATATTGCATGTACCTCAATTCTACCCATCCTTCTACCCACTTAGTATCCCCATGGCGCTTGCGCTTTTGAAAACATCACTAACCAGCCCGCCGATTCACAAGAGAGGGATGCGAGGATCCGACTTGTGTGAATGTGTGTACATCCTAGCTGCATCCACGTCTAGACAAACAGACAGACAGACAGACACGTGTGTGACGATTCATGAATCCATGCGATACAGTTGTTGTGTGCGGAATGCTCAACAACAGTTGGAAAAAACTGCATGATCCGTCTAATTGGCATCATCCACCCCGCCAATACGCCACGCACCCACCCACGACCAACAGTATGTAGAGGGGTCAATGATTCATCCATGCAGTCAATGTCTGTCCGCCGACCTACGTATCTCATCTCATGACTTTGTAAGGGTTGAGAATGCCGTTGGGATCCAGCAGACGCTTCAGCTCTCGCTGATGAATCCATTCATCGATAAACAAACGTACACACACATACACACCAATGCACTGCATGTTTTGCTATACCCATCTGCTCCCTCACCATGAGTTCGACGTGTGCCATCTCATTCGCGGCGGTGATCTTGTCAGCCTTCATCACACCTGCATGCCATCCATGCAACACACACACGGACAGTGGGCGTGAAGAGCAGAGCAGAGCCATCCATCCGTCGATCCATCCATCCACGCATCAATCCATCCATCATGTGGCTGACCGAGGCCATGTTCAGCCGACACAGAGCCCTTCACCGACTCTGAATGCGTTTGATAAGCAGCAGGCAAGAAGTGCCCACATATACGTACATGCTGTGTGTGTAGCATGTGTTGTCTCTTCATGTAACTGACTCACTGATGTAGTCCCATATGAATGGCTCCAGGGCGGCCTCGAGCTGTTGGCACGCACTCAGGTCCTCAGCCAGCACATTGATGTGCAGATTAGAGTCACCTGCACCCACACATGAATGTCAGAGGGAGGTGAGTCCTGTCTGTCTGCGTCTTTTTGTCTGACGTGGGATGGCCTGCCTACCGAGGTGCCCATATCCAACACACGTGTGGCCGGGGATGCCCTACACAGACAGACAGACGGTCGAAAGGCGATGAATGGATGGATGGAAGCGTAAGTAGCTATGGTCGGTCGGTCACCGGCTGACCTTGAGTCTCTCTTTGAGCAGCTCAACGATATGGTACATGCCTGTGAGGGGCAACGTGATGTCGTACTTGTACACCTGACAGACGCACGTCAATCAAACAGCCAGCCGTCAGCAATGCAATGAATGCATGGATCTGTGTGCACGTGTTGTCTGATCTATCGTATCTCTCACCTTCCCCGCATGGCCCATTGCAGGCCCGATCGACTCCCTGCACACAAATGGCATCCGCGCCCGCACATCACATATTCTGTCTGCTGTAGCCAGCCCACTTGCCTGAGCTTCCAGAACTCCTGTATCTGTGTGGCATTCTCGGCATACACACCATCCTACACACACACACAGATGGATGGACAGACGCACAGGAACGAACACATTGACGCATTTAGTGGCAAGCCGTACATCTTTCCCTATTTCACTCGCTGACCGTGACGGTTTCATCTTCGATGAGTTTGCCGACCAGCTTCTCGACACGCGCATAGTCACACGCCTCATCCTGACCTTACACACACACATCGACCACAGACGGAGAGAGGGGAGGGAGAGATTGCCAGGGGCCGTGACGACCGTGTGTCGAAGTGTGCTGACTGACCTGAGGTCTCCACGAGAAGGTAGAAGGGCGAAGCGCTCTGGAAGGGATCACGGCTGCCCTGATCAGTGGATGGGAACCGACGAGACGTCAGGGCGCTGGTGTTGTATGGGTGTAAGTAAGGGTGTAGGGTGTGGTGACTGACCGGTATGTGTGTGGTGACCATTTCGAGCGCCGACCGATCGAAGAACTCGACGGCAGAGATGATGTCAGACATCCGACGGCGACACTAAACGACAGACGCACACCATAGCCCGTCCAGTGTGTATCCATCCATTGCTCTCTCTGTGTGTGTGTCGCTGCCCACCTACCTCAGTGGCTGCCTGCACGACCTTATCGAAAGAGTCACACTGGAACAGACACACTGCAACAAACAAAGGGGCGGGGAGGTAGTGATGGGGTGTGCGGGGAAGGACGGGCAATCGACGGTGTGCTGCCTACGTTGTACTGATGACGACTTGAACGGACAGATCATCGTGACAGCTGTGACGACGCCCTGCATTGCAACACAAGGCAATTGACAAGAAAAGAAATACCCTTGACTGACAAACTGACTGACACGATTGATTGGCACATCCGTCACCTGTATGCTATGCTATCCATACCAGTGTGCCCTCGGCGCCGATGAAGAGCTGGTGCGCCTTGTACCCCGTGTTGTCTTTCCGCAGCAGACTCGTCATGTCCACCCGCGTCCCATCGGCCTTGACCACCTCCAGCCCCAGCACCGACCCGCTGAGCGGCCCGTACCTGAGGTACCTCAGCCCGCCGGCGTTGGTGCTGACATTGCCGCCGATGTGACAGCTGCCCTTGGCACCCAGGTCGATGGGCATGGTGAAGCCCCGCTCCTCCACGTGCTGGTACAGCGACTCGAGCACGCAGCCGGCCTGGCAGTGCAGCACGCCCGTCGACTCGTCGAAAGAGATGATCTGCACAGAGAGAGATATATATATATACGAGGGCGGGGATGTCGGGAGGGAGAACTGTGGGTTCGTACTTTGTTGAGGTTGGCAAGGGAGAGCACCACTTCATCGAAACTGCACACGGAGACGATGCTTATCCCCTTTCTGTGTCTGCGAGGGGCCTGTGAGTGCTCACGTTGGCACGCTGCCTCCGACCAGCCCCGTGTTGCCCCCCTGCGGCACCACCGCAATCCTCTGGTCATTGCAGTACTTGAGCACACGCTGGGTCTCACCCACCGTCCTCGGCTTCAGCACCAGAGGACACTCACCCTCTGACACACACACACACACACACACACATCATTGCCCACCCCGTGGATGAAGGCTCCATCGCATCGGTCGCTGCCTACTGTATATGCCCATCCAGTCAAGATTGTACGGCGCAACCTCCTTCTCGTCAGTCAGCACGCCGCCCTCGCCGACCACACCCCGGAAGAAGTCAACATCCTCACCGTCCAGCTGCTTGAAGCGAGCATCGCGCTGAAACTGCGGCACATAATACCTGTTGCTGCTGTGCTCCTTTGGCGCTGCTGCTGCCCGCCTCGGCCGTGATGAGAAGCAGAGAGTGCGGTGGAAGGGCAGATGGGATGAATCGGGAGGGAAAAAGGAGCGCTCGAGCGCTCGCAAGAGAGGCACTCTCGCTGCGGCTTGACGCGGCAGCATCATCATGGATCTTCACTCGCTGGTGGACTCATGAAAAGGGATGAAGTTTGTCGATATGAGATGACTGGCGAAGATTCGCACATCCCATAGCGCAGAGCAGCCTCGCGGATCAGTTGTTGCCGAGAGGCACCGGTGCTGTTCTTTTGGACCTGCTATCTTAGCTCGCATGAGAGGTCGGGCCGAGTCCTCCTTGAAACCGCTGCTGCGGTCAAAAAGAAGACGGCGCTGATGCTGATGATGATAAGACTCTGCTGACGCACAAGAGGCAGACGGACGGGAGGAATGCAATTGTTCAAGAGACTCGCTCGCCGTTAGACTGTGTTTCGCCGTTGGACGCTCGAAGTCGAAGAGAGGACAAGGGCGTGACACACAAACACACAGTGAAGCTGGAAAACTGCGGTGATGGACGACGAGGATGACTATCGAGTTGGTGTCGGCCTCGGCCTGTCCGCGCTTGCCGGTACCGTACGCCCAATTGCCGGCACTCGACGCTGACTGCCAATTGCAATTCTGATTGTTTGTGGCTGTGGCTTGTGTGTGTTGGAGGCAGGTTTGGCGACGGCGGGCGGCAGTGCTTTGTCTTTCTGCCTGCCGACCTACAACCCCCGCATCTTCGCCGTGTGCCTGTCCCTCTCTGCCGGCGTGATGCTGTACATATCCTTCATCGAGATTTTCTACAAGTCCAGGGTACATGGCATGGCATGGCAGCACATGGATAGGATGACTGACACCGCCGCTCTCTCCTCTCATGCTTTGGGTACGTGTGTGTGTGTGTGTGTGTCTGTGTGTGGGTGGGTGTGTCAGGATGAGTTCATCAAGTCTGGGTATGAGAAGACTCAGGCGTATCCTCTCGCAACTGCGGTCTTCTTCTGCGGTAGGTGGCTGTCAAGCGGATATCCTCGCGGATTGACAAAACGCTGTTCTCTCTCTCTGTCTCTGTGTGTGGTGTGTGTGCAGGCATGGTCCTTGCCCAGTTGCTGGACTGGTGCCTGCATCGGTTGTTTGGCTTTGAGCATGACCATGACGAGATCCACCAGGAGCCGCACGTGACGCTGGAGGGTCTGTCCAGGTCGCCCAAAGAGATGGAGCAGGAGGCCAAGATGACCCCACTCAGTGCCAGCTCCAGGCACAAGAGCATCCCAGTAAGTGTGTGTGATGCCTGTCGGTCGTCAGCGTGACATGGCGATCGGTTGGGCTTGTTCGTGTGATGTGTGGTGCAGACGTCCAAAAGCTGCCCGATCCCCGCTCCCTCCGTCACGCTGTCTATCGAAGAAACGGTCGACACCCACCCGAGCGCCGGCTCGGCGTCATCCCCGTCGACATCTCAAGATCCTCCCGAGGCGACGGACAAGCCCAAAGCGGAGGAAGACACAGAAACGGCGCCACCACAGGTGGGTGGGTGGCGGGGTGCGTGAAGACAACATGATGAATGAGACGAGTATCGAGTGCTGGTGTGGTATGTGTGGGGCGTCAGGAGGCCAGGGGCGTGGCGGGAAAAGAGGCTGTCGGGAGGCCGTCAGGCGACAAGGGGAAGCTGCTCAACCTATCGCTGTTTAGCGGGCTGGCACTCGCCCTCCATAATTTTCCAGAAGGCATTGCGACATTTGCAGCCGCACTGGCCGACCCACGATTCGGGCTCGGTAAGAATGGAGCCCACACACATCAGACACGCAGACTGACTGATGGTTCGTTCTCTTTGGGTGTGTGTGTTGGTTCATGTTGGTTCAGGCGTGGCTGTGGCGATAGGGATTCACAATTTCCCTGAGGGCGTGGCTGTGTCGGTGCCGATATACTATGCGACAGGGAGCAGGTGCAAGGCCTTCACCTGGTCGCTCATTGCTGGCCTCGCCGAGCCAGTCGGGGCCGTCCTGAGTAAGCGGCGAGCGACACACACATGCACTGCACGGAAGCATGCTCAGCCCACCGCACGCCCTTGGTGTGTCGTTCTGTGTCTGCCTGTCAATCGGTATGTCAGCGTGGCTGATACTGTCCAATAACATATCCTCGACGGCCTTCGCCATTCTGTTCGGGCTGGTGGGCGGCCTGATGGTTCACATATCTGTCAGGTACACACAAAAATCGCAGCCCATCGAGATGGTCATCTGGCAGCCGCCCCACCACCTACCACCACCTCCGTTTCCTGCAGGAAACTCATACCAACGGCTCTGAGATACGACCCACAGGTGAGTGAGCGGACGACTGGGTGAGGTGGGGGGGCCGTGCAGGGTGCTAACGGAAGGTCGGCTTCGTGTCTGTGTTGGTCTGACTTCAGGATCGTGTGACCTCTGCCCTGGTGCTCGGGGGTATGGCACTTATGGCGGTCAGCCTGGTGATCTTCGTGGCTATCGGCTTTGACGAGTGATGGACAGACAGACAGACGGATGGATGGATGTGTGTGTGGGTTTAGGGGGGTTGGGTTGGAGGGGACCGGAAGTATGTCGGTTGAAGTGTATAGCTGGCTTGCCAGATGTGTGTATGGTACAGGGCAGGCCGTGTGTGGGCGGGCCTGTTGTGTGTACAGACCGCCTGACTGACTGACTGACAAGGGAGAGAGATGTATTGTATGCGTGTGTAGATGTCAGTCGGCAGAAGTGGTTGGATTGACTGACTGACACGTGGGTGTGTCTGTATAGCTCAACGTAAGGAGGCGTGACTGACATTTATGTCCCTACCGACTGAAAGGTATAAGATATATAGGTAGGGTAGATAGATATGATGGATAGATAAAGTCACACACACACACGACACACACCACACACCACAGTGACTGACAAGCAAGCACTTAAAACTCCCAACCAACCGATCCACCAGCCAGCCACACCTCCGTCCGTATCCACGCATTAATTGTCCTCTTCTGTCTGTTCTGTACGACCAACCCAACCAACGCCCCAGAGCACACCAGACACTCCATTCGTCAGAGAGGGTACCTGCCCGCCTGTCTGTCTGTCTGTCTGGTCCCATTGAGAGTGAAACAAGTATGGTATGAAAAATGGGACCCATTGCAATGCATCAGTGAGGGACGCCCACACCACACCCATATGCCGTCAAATCGATGTCGGCTCGTGTCAAGTGTGTGTGCAGATGCGATGACGTCGCTTCGTTCTCGGCCACCCGCGTACAGGGGCAGGTCATGTGCAGTGACCTCGGCCAATGCATGTGGGTGGACCACAACGAAGCTCCGCAATCGCTGACAGCACCGGTGCTCAGTACGCAGTCCAAGCGACACTGGCAGGCTGGGCTGGCAACCCCCTTCCTCTCTGTCTGTCTGTCCCCCACACCAACCATCCAACCAAGCAACATAAATGCGTAGCCGCATCCATCCATCCATCGCCACACCGTCAGTCAGTCACATCCATCTGTACATATCTCATCTCAGGCAGACAGGTAGGCAGCCAGCCATTCAAACCAAACCCCTCAACTCGCTCAACCACTGGCCCGTACATCCGTACCGGCCTAGCATCACACACACACAGCAAGCGGGCAGGGCAAGGTCGGCAAAAGGCAGTGGCTGGGAAGGAAGGACGGGCTGGGAGGGGCGAGCTGCTCGAGCTCGACGGCCATCCCGGCCAGCAGGACAACACAAAAATCGTATCTCTCTCGGCAGTGTTTTCTCTCTCAGAGGGACAAATACTGTGTGAGCAAGCCAAGTGTGGCGGCAGACAGGGAGGTAGCAACGAGAGCAAGGTGCGATCATAGGAAATAGCAACACAAGACATGCACACACGCAGGGGAGCGGGAGGGACGGAGGGAGGGAGGGAGGTGACATCCCCCCACCCCCCTCAGAGGAAGTGTCTTTTCTCGAGTGCCCTCATGCGCCTCCACATCAGTATGGCCACCACACCAACCTGTGCACATACATCACAGGATGCATCACGTGGGTGCGGTGGGTGCATGTTCGTTCCCTGGCCGGACATAAATGGCTTACCACAGCGATGATGCCGAAGACCATGAAAGAGCTCCGTGTCGCGTGAGACTTGATGTGCGTCTCGAGCGTCTTGGCACGCTCAGCCAACTGACATACACAGACAGACAGACAGACAGAGGGTGTATGTTATGTGCCGCTGGCTGTGGCGTGTGCATGTCTGTCTGTCTGTGTGGGCGTCAGTCAGTGGTCACGCACCTCTCTTATGTGTGGGCTCTCTTCGCCTGCTGATCTGTCGGTGTTCAAGTTGGCCACAGTTCTGAACACAGACGCACACACAGACAGAGGTTTGTGGGTGCGGTGCATCCAACGCCACAGCTCCATGCTGCGGCACGCACCTGTGGAGCGTGCTCAGAGTGCTCGAGTGCTGCTGGCTGTGCTTGGAGAACATCGTGCGCAGTCCCATTAGCTGGACGAATGATGAAGAGAGGCACCACACACATATACATACACAGCGGTGCGGCGTGCGTTTGTGACCCACCCATCACCATCACGCACCTCAGATTTCATGGTGTGTATTGTTTCGGTGTGGTTGACGCCCGTGGCCGTCTGGAACTCTTTCCTCAGCTCCTTGACGTCAGATATCAGCTTGTGCACCTGCGCCTGAAGCGAACTGACACACACACAGAGAGAGAGAGAGAGAGAGAGACATTCGCCGGCTGTATCTGTCCTCCATCTGTCTCTCCCTCTCTCACTCACTTGAGTGTTTTGTGAATGGTTTGCTCCCTTGGCCCGGCCTCGGAGATGTGTTTGTAGAGCAGCCGGGTCAGCTGACGCAACGCCTCGGTCTGCTCGTGCTGCATCAGTGGAGTGAGTGGAGCGATACATACACATTCACAGCATACATTTGAGACATGATATGAGATGCATTGCCGATCCATCTATTCTTTCTTGAGTGTAGCCACCTTACCTTGTCTTTGTAGTGTGAGTGGTCTCTGAGGATGTCGCCCGCATCGGCGTCACCCAGAGCTGACCGTGACAAAGAGCCAACAAATACATACACAAGAAGGATCACATCACCGTGAATGGTGGCCACAGAGGGATGTCTGTGGCGTGCTCCGCCCGTCCTTTCCTCACTTTCGTGCATTATCGTGGTGTCCTCGCCGGGCGTTGACATGTCCAAATTGTACCTGCACACAGGTTGTGGCGTCCACGTGTGCGTGTGAGTGCGTGTGTGTGAGTGTGTGTCTGCCTGTATGTGTGTGGTTCCACCCTTCATACATGTGCAGGCCGTAGATCATGACTTTGTCTCCCTGGTGATTGGGAGACCCCTCCTCAACGCCAGTGAACCCAGTGAAACCGATAAACCCATTCGGCTGCAACCGAATGTCACTCTTCTGCACACACACACACACAAAGGCGAGAGCCGGTCGGGAAATTGTCACGTTGTGTGTGTAGCGCCATACATCGACGTAGCCTACCCTGAAGACGTCTATGTATGGCGGGTTGGCGGCGGGGTTGACTTGTATCTGTCCACTGATGCCCTTGGGGCCCACGGCCAGCCTAAACCGCAAAGGAGTCGGCGTGTTGCGCCACCGAAAGTAAAAGGCATCTGTGGGTGGAAGGGGGGGCGAGAGAATGACATTTTGGTACAGGGGAGCGAGCAGCGATGTGTGTGTGTGTGCCTGTGTCTGTGGTTACCCTTGGTTGGCACGTCTTGTGTGAAGATGTAGTTCTTGGCGCCGTCGCTGTAGGCAACAGATATGGACGGATTCCACTACACACGCACACACACACAGAGAGAGAGAGAGAGAGAGATGGAGATGCAGACAGAGAGAGGTGTGGGCCAGCCGCCCTGTGAGTCACCCACCTTGTTGCTGTTGTCGAAGTTGCTGAAGAATATGCCGAGCCCCTTGAAGTTCTGCTTGTACCCAAACAGGCTCCACAGCTTCTGCTCCTCCTCACTCTTGGGGTACACCGTCACATAGTCCTCCATCGCATACCTACACCAACACACACAGTGCCTTGTGCGTGTGTGTGTGCGCGCGCGCGTGGCTGTCAGACTGACTGACCAGAATGCGAATCCCTGTGAAGTGGAGAAGTCCGGCCCGCTGACGATGAAGTCAAATATCACCTCAAAATTGCCCGTCTTGACCGGATCCTTGTGCCTGCAGTCAGTCCAGCAAGACAAGAACGACACACACAAGCCACACGTCAATCCAGACACGCGAGTGCGCCTTTCCCTGACTGGCTCGCTGGCTGACCAGAACTGTCCAGTCCTGTTGGCCACCATGGGTGTGAGGACGACAAAGTTGCGGGCAGGGATGGAGGCACCAGCCAGGTCCCAATCGTTCAAAGTGTTGTCTGCACACACATCGCACACACACACAGACACACACACACACATCAAGATACCACATAGTCCGTCCCATTGTTCACTCACTCACCGAAGTTGAGAGGCGACTCGAACGAGTGCCTCATCATCTCCAATCTGTCCGTCTTGACGTCCTGCGCTGGCTTCGGAGGCGCCGGGGGAGGCGTCACAGCCGGTGCCGCTGGCGGCGGCTGCTGCTGTTGCTGTGGTGGTGGTTGCTGTGGTTGTCCATAGTGCCCGTACTGCGGCACCTGTCCTCCCACCTGCTGCTGCTGCTGCCCATAAGGCACTCCCTGCCCATACGTCTGGCCGTACTGAGCGTATGGGTTATACTGCTGCTGCTGCCCTGGATTGTGTTGTGGCGGTGCCTGACCATAGCCTTGCTGACCATACTGTGGCGGGATGTTGCCATAGGGCTGCTGGTAGGCGGGGTAGCCGGCGGTGGGCGGCGCCTGGGAGTCCACAAGCGGCCAGAGGAGGACCGGGATGCACCCGAGGAAGGGCGACAGCTTCATGAGCGTTGACTTGAGAGATGAGGCCTCAGACCTGGCATATGCTGCCTAGGCGAAGATCGCTATCAATCAATCACTCCTTAATGCTTCGTTTTTCTCTGTTGCGTGTTAAGCTCGCAGAAGAATAGCTCGCAATTTCGTCATCGCATTGCAGCCATGTCGGAGGCGGCCCAGGTGGATGCCAACGCCAAGGCAAACATCGTGTGCTTCGGACACATTGCCAAGGTGAGAGCATCAAATAGCCACAGGCCATCCATTCATCCATTCAATGACATGACCCATTTCTGTGCATACTGTACAGGCCGTTGACACGATAGAAGGCATCGCCAGGTCGCTCCGCTCCCTTGCCCGGCAGCACAGCACCGGCCTCCGAGATGAGCTCAAGGCGAAGGGGCTCAGCTGCAAGCCATCGCACACCAGCTGGGAGGCCCTTGTGGCGGCCGTCAAGGGGCAGCCTGTCAACCGCCAGAAAGAGATAGTGGATGGGTTGACGGCTGACTTGGCGGCCCTGCTTCTGGCGGTCTGGAGTGCTGTGGGTGTGAAGGAGGAGAATTCGGAGGATGCTGCTGCTGCTGCTCCTGCTGCTGCTGCTGCTGTTGCTGTGGGGGCTGACAAGTCGTGTGAGTGCGGCGGGTTTGCGGACGACACGTGCGCGGGCGGCGGCTTCCAGATATTCTGTAAGCTGGTACAACGAATGATGGATGCCGCTTCTGTTGGATGGATGTGTGTGTGTTGTCGTTCGATCATTCAGGCAAGACGCTCACGGGGAAGGTGGACTCATGCCACGCACACACAGGTTTGTTTGTACCTCTGCCCGTCCCTGTGTTTCTGTGTGTGTGTGTCAGACGTGCACCCTGAATGTGTGTCCGAAGTGTACGATAGAGAAGGTCAAGCACAAGATATGGAAGCCCAGCGGGGTGGCGCCAGACCAGCAGAGGCTCATGTGAGTGAGTGAGTGAGTACCCGAACGCACTGGTCGTCACCGTATAAGCAATGCACACACCACAGCACAGCACAGCCATGCCCTCAGCCACGATTGCGTGTGTGTATGGATGGTGTGGCCACCATCCATTTGTGCAGCTTCGCCGGCAAGCAGCTGGAGGACAGCAGGACCGTCGGCCAATACAAGATGTTGAAGGAATCCACACTCCACCTCGTTGTGCGCCTGCGGGTAACCTACCGGAAGAAGCACAACGACCACACTGTGACACACACACGCAGGGGTCGCTATCTCGTTGTGTGACGTGAATGGCCATTCTGTCTCTGTGCAGGGTGGCATGTTTGCGTCTGTCTCCGGCCGTTTCGGGTTCTCGCCTTCCCTCTACCCCGAGCAGAATATGCCCCTCGGCACCGACCAGGAGGCTGACTACGAGAGGGGACTCGCCGAAGTCTCCGCACACAAGGAATGGTACACACCAGTCCATGCACTCTCCCCTCCCGCCACACACACATGCAACTGGTCGTTGTCAGGTACGAGTCGCTCTTGGCCAGTGAGGCGGATTCGATGGCCCCTTCGCTGGCTCATCTGGCGGACAAGGTCGACTCCCTGGAGTCAGCTGTGGCCAAGTTCAAGGCGGGGCACCCGGTGGTCAAGCGGGAGCCGGCCCCCCTGGCGTGCAAAGAGGTGCTGGGCAAGCGCAAATCGACCACCGCTGGGGCTGGTGCTGGTGGTGGAGCAGCACACGAGGGTGGCGGCAAGGCTGCCAAGAAACAGTGACGATGGAGAGATACGGATGGATGGATGGGGGTGTAATGGGACGGACTGATACGGACGGACAACGTCACGACTTTCGTTTCACCGATTGATAATTGCATCCTCCATCACTGGTCCGTCCAACCAACACAAAGAAGTCTCACAAACACAACACAAGACACACAGACATGTCATGGATGAAAATCCAGAAATGCACCAACCACACCACCAAACGCGCGCACGAGAGGAGGAGAGACGACCCAGGAAAACTGTGCAGGTCTGCATGCCCAGATGTGTGTACGAGGTTTCCTCCCCTCCAGGCAGCGATCCTGACGCTCACGGACGGGACGGGACGCACAGACAGACGACACTCACACGCCGCCTCTCTTTGGGAGGCAGGCTGGTCGCTACAAAGAAAGGAACAACACCAAGAGAGAGAGAGAGAGGCTACACAGCGTGACGCAAAAGCAACACATACAAGAAGGGTACGGAGAGGGTGATCATCATCATGTTGGCTCGGGGAGCGGAAAATGGCCACGTGTTTCACTCACACATCGCTCAGACGCACCCATGCACTCGGACGGTCCGTCGTCGCACACAGAGACACACAAACACGATGAATGCTATGCTTGATGGAAAGAATCCCCCTCACCCCCACCCACTCGCCCCCCTCTCCCTCTCTCTTGCCACGTATTCATGTGTGTGTGTGCGATGGAGATCGATGGCTGACTGACCGCAAGCAAGACCAAAACCGCAGGAACGAGCACACGAAGCTTGAGTACGAGAAGAGAAATCGACATTGACATTCACCGACACGGACTCACAGGACAAAACCGCCTGTTGTCATCTCACCTCGCCCCGCCCCACGCACACCCCGCATGTACTCAGGCATGCACACGAACGGAGAGGAGGAAGGAAGGATGCAGTGTGTGTGGTGTGGTGTGGTGAATCGACAGGCAGGCTGGCAGGCGTGTTAGTTAATCCATTCGCCCTCCCTGTCACTCGCTGCGACTGCCCCCTGAAAGTTCACAGCATCGGTCCGAGTACTGCATCTTCACGGGGGTGTGAAGACGCAACACTCGGACAGTGGCAGTGAATGGTCGGTGAGACAGATTCACACGAAAACTGGGAATGGGTCACATCACGTTACGCCGTCATATGCTCCCTCGGCGATTCCTGCCTTCCTTTCTGTCGCACTCCCCGCACGCCAGCCTCGGCTATCTTCGACGACATCCGCGGCTTCCGTGTGCCAAGTACTACGTAAGGAAGGCAGGCACCGACACGAGAAGAACTGATCGTCATTGAACTGATGATGCCAGTATGTGTGCCTGTCTGTCCCCTGGCTGGCTTCCATCCTCCCCTGCATCTCTCCCCCTCTCTCTCTCGCCTCGCCTCAAATCGACGTGTTTGCACCCCTCACCCACACATCAGTGTGACACCACACTGTCCGCTTCCTTCCATCGACGCTGACGCACCCTTTCCCGACACACAAGCACACTCGACGGATCGACATCATCCAATCCAGAATGTTCAAAATTCCAGCAAGAGGCCAAAACGGCCCCTTACAAGGCAGACTGACAGACAGGCATGGACCCAACGCGCACGCACAGCCGGCTGGCATCATCGCTCATGAGAGGTCTTGTGCTCAGACGGTCCCGTTCATGGTCTTCTTCTCGTGGCTTAGGTTCTTGACCTGCTCCCACGAGATCTTGATGTCGTCGCGCCCGAAGTGGCCGTACGCCGCCAACGCGCAGAAACCGGGCTTCTGAACACATTAACACAACGGATGGATGGACGCCCGCAGGTATGTGTGTGGGGTGTTTGGGGGGGACGGTGGGGGGTGGAGAGGTTGACCTTGAGGTGCAAGTCCCTCTGGAGGCATCCTGGCCTGAAGTCGAAGTTCTTCTCGACGATCTTGAGGAGGTCCTCGTCGGTGTAGCCAGAGGCCGCGGTGCCGTACGAGTCGACGAACATCGACAGCGGGTGGGCCACACCGATAGAGTAAGACACCTGACAGACAGACAGACAGACAGACAGAGACGCACACATCAACGGACGGATGCATGTGTGAATGGATGTGTGTGTGGTGGTGCTGACATACCTGGACGAGGCACCGCTTGCAGAAGCCACCGGCGACGAGCGACTTGGCGGCCCAGCGGGCGCCGTAAGCCGCTGACCGATCCACCTGATCAACACGCACACAAGCGACACAACACAAAAGGAGTCAGCAGACGGGAAGACCGGCGTGCAGCCTCCCTCATGTATGTTCGTGTGTGTACCTTGGTGGTGTCCTTGCCCGAGAAGGCACCGCCGCCATGAGCACCCCAGCCGCCATAGGTGTCAATGATGATCTTGCCTGCACACACACATCAGACAGGACAGCCATGCCGCCCACACCATCACCCCCTCCCTCCCTCCCTCCCTCCCTCCCTGGTGTGCTCAGCTCACGTCCAGTGAGTCCTGCGTCTCCGTGTGGTCCGCCGATGACGAATTTGCCGGAGGGGTTGAGGTGGAAGATGGTGTTGTCGTCCATGAACTTGCCCGGGACGATCGGCTTGATGACGTGCTCCAGCAGGTCCTTGCGCAGCGTCTCGTTGCTGACCTCGGGGGCGTGCTGCGTCGAGATGACGATCGTGTGCACCCGCTGGGGCACCATGGCGCCGTCGATCTTCTTGTACTCTATCGTCACTTGGGTCTTTCCGTCGGGGCGGAGATACGGCAGAGTGCCTGGTGGAGGTCAACAAAACAGCAGATCAATGTGCGTCTTGCATGTGTGCGCGTGTGAGTGTGTGTGTGTGTGTGTGCGTGTGAGTGTGTGGACTGACCGTCCTTCCTGACGTCTGTGAGCCTCTTGCCGAGCTTGGTGGCGAGCGAGTGGGTGAGGGGCATCAGGTCGGGCGACTCGTCCGAGGCATAGCCGAACATGTGACCCTGATCGCCCGCACCTGAACACACACACACGCGCGGTGCCCATCCCTCCATTCATTCACCCCTGCAGCGACAGTGTCTGTGTGGTGTCTGGTCGTCTCGGCTGGCTGGCTGACCGATTTCCTCGACGCTCTTGTTGACGTGGACGGCCTGTGCGATCTCGGGGGACTGCTCCTCGATGGCGACGATGACCTTCATGGTCTTGTAGTCCAGCCCCTTCTGCGGGTCGTCGTACCCGATGTTCTTGCACGTCTGACGCACAATCTCCTCGTAGTCAACGTTAGCCTTGGTCGTGATCTCGCCAAACACCATCACCATTCCTGCATATAATCAACACACCACACCACAGGCATCGCATCCCCCCTGCACAGCGCCCATCTCTGGCCGCATGTGCCTGTGTCCTGACGTACCGGTCTTGGTACATGTCTCGCAGGCGACCTTGGAGTCGGGATCTTGCGCCAGGCAGGCGTCGAGCACAGCGTCGGACACCTGGTCGCACAGCTTGTCGGGGTGGCCCTCGTTGACCGACTCAGAGGTGAACAGGAAGCAGCCGGGTGCGGGAGGGCGAGGAGCGGCCATCGTGTCACGCTGAGATGGAGATAAGCAATGCAAACACGTCAGATCTCGTGGGGCGCTGGTCTTTCTAAGCTCGCCAGTTGCGAGCCGAGACAAGGATCGTCCGCGAAGGTGATTGGCTGTGAAACGGAAGCTTGAGAGACAGCGCGTCAATGCGGCCGAGATCTACTGTTTTCATGTCCCGCGTGACTCTACATGGGCAAAGAGACGACGGCCTTACCTGCGGAGAACGGTGTTGGGTTGGGTTGCACAAAGGTGCCGCCATCCTCAGATTCCTCACCTGGGTCATGCTCCCCACTCACCTGATCGGCCTGCTCACTCCTTTTTTGTTCTCCCCCAACCCAAGTTTTTGTGACTTCGAAGCCCTCGGCCAAGTTTGCACCATCGACGGCTTTAGTGTCGAGCAGCACGATGTACCGACGGACGGCCGGAGATCCCAGACGACACTTTGCGCAGAGGAGTATAAGTACGTCTTCACCGTCGGCAACGGGACGAGGAAATACACCTCGCGAATTGAGCGTCATTCCTGGCCCGGCCGATGCCCCGAAGGATCACTTGGGGTTCTGCAGAAACGCTTGACGTATGACGCGGGTCAAACGGTGGACTGCTGGAGGGCAACGTCGGAGTCCAGTTGGGTGTACCAATGCGGCAATCAGCCGCATTGCTTCAAGGTGTTCAACCCTGCGGAAGAGGCCAAGGTCCCTTGGCGAAGGGGCATCTTGATGGTCTCTTGGGGTATCCGAATAGTGCTTATCTATGTGCTCTGCGCTTGTGGTGCGGTGTGGTCCGAGCTGAGCCGTGCTGTGCACCATGGACAGAGTAGGCTGTTTGTTTGTCTTACGTACTCCATGGCTTCTCTCCAAGCTGGTAGGGTGCTGTGGAGATAGCAAGCTTGTGTACATAACATAACGCAATCAATCTGTTTGGTGCGATACATACGCGATGGGTGAAGTGAGGTGACTGTCCGTGCTGTGCCGTCTGTTTTGCTTCCTTCATTCAATGTCCAATCGGTCAGTCGACAAAAACCTGGTTTCTGTTGCATGGTAGACTCACACACCGTCCGTCTCTCAGTTGAATGCATTTAATCGCCATCACTCTCTGTCCGTCAGCGCCTCCTGTTCGGCAACACGCCGACGCTGACCTGACGATACCACCCACTCATTTCGTTTGGGCACATCAACACGACACGCCCTCTCTCAGTGCAGAGCAGCATCATCCATCTCATCTGTATGTACGCAGTCGGTCTCAATGCCGTGACGTCACACACAGCCATCCACTCGCCCACTCAGACAGACAGAGGCACATACCATACACACGAACGAACAAGTGAGAGAGTATACGGACGACAAAAAACGCATAGACCAAAGAAAGAAAGAAGACGCGTGCACACCACACATACGACTAGATGAGATGAGATGACGGTAGGTACTCACATGACATCCACGAGCGACACTGACACGGACGACAGCTCCCCTGACGCTGCCGCTACCCTGCCCATTTCCACGTCTTTCGGGGGCGGCTGAAAGTGCTGCTGGTGGTGGTGTTGGTGCGTCTGGACGCTTTTCTCTTTCCTCCACGCGCCGAGCATGAGCATACACAGGTGCATGACGCCGTGGTAGCAGCCGCGAGTCAGGTGATACAGACATACAGACGCCTGAAATATATTACCACACACATGACACACATGTGACACAGCGGCCAGAAGTGTGTCCCGTACCTGGTATAGGAAGAAGAACACTGGTGCGATAAGGCATATTATCACATAGCCCCCTGCACACACACACATTCATCCATCCATCCATCCATGTGATCACCCACACCCCCTTCCCCTTCCTCTCTCTCTCCTTACAGAAGGTGAACAGCCCGGCCGCCACGAGTGAGAAGGGCGTGTGGTAGAGCTTCCGCCGGGTGAGGGGCGTCACCGCACGGCAGCAGCCATAGATCGTCAGGGCCACCAGCGGCAGAGAAACCATTGTCAACGCCAGGGCAGCCGGGCCCAGCACCAGCAGCTGCACACAGATACATACATACCCACACAAAAGATGCACGGGGCAGTCAGGCAGGCAGGCGTGTATGTGTGTGCTGTGTGGTGTGGTGTGGAGGGCTGACCATGAGAAGGAATCCGCCCCGGTAGAAGAGGGCCTGGAGAGGGCTCCACGGCTCGTCACGGTCGGCCATCTGGCGGGTGGGACAGCCCAGCACGTTCCACCTGGCGGATTGGATTGATGACAGACAGACAGACAGACACCCACACCACAGACAGACAGACAGACAGACAGAGAGGGATTGTGTGCACACGGCACATAGGTGGATGGATGCCCTGTGTGGCCGCCCATGTGTGTGCCCACCCACCATGCATAGTGGAAGGGGAACTGCCCTTCGCCCACTTTCCGGCCACAGATCCAACAGAAGCTCACGCCACAGCTGGCAACAAACAATGAATGCACAAGCCCATCTGTCTGTGCGGGTGCGTGTTGTGTGTGTGCGTCTAGTCTACTTGGTGCAGATCATGTGGTTGCATCCGCCGGCCTTCTCCACTGGCTGCGAGCACCCCGGGCAGGGCTTGCAGGTCGTTGCGATCACCGTCCGATTGGCGCGCTCCTCGTGACGGTGCAGCCGCTCGTGCGCCGCACACGTCATACCTGCAGCAGACACACACGTGCAAAGGTGGCTGGATGGCCAATGACGCGCAGCACACACTGGGTTGGGTACCCTACCTGGGTGAGCGTCAGCGTGGAAGTAGCAGAACCGGTAGCCGCACTTGTCACACGTCATGTCGGCCTGCCGGCCGCCCGACAGCCGCCAGCCGCCGCCCGAGCTCGACACCAGATGGTCGCACTTCGGGCATGACCTGCACGCCCACACAGACAGACAGACAGGCAGCCACACATCCGTCCATCCGTCCATCCGTCCATCCAGCCAGCCACGTGTCACCGACCTGCATGTGGGTTCCTCTCGGATCCGTTTGTATCTGCGGTACTTTTGCACGACGGTGTGGTCCAGGAGCGGCACGAACTCGCTCTCGTCGAGCCGGCTGTTGCACAGACGGACAGGTGCGGGGGCGGAGGGGGGGTCGGGCGGAATGACGTGAAAACAGTGGAACGATATCTGCACACAACGATCCGCACACGCGGGCAGACAGACACAATGGATGGATGCGGCTCGTCGGTTGTGCGAGTGCGTGTGTCTGTCTGACCTGTCCTTCAGCGATGCGGCTGGAGATGTAGTCCTTGAAGCAGCAGACGCAGCACTGGTGGCCGCACTGCAGGGTGTGTGCGCAGTTGGTGTCCTGGTAGGCCATGCAGATGGGGCAGTAGAAGGTCCGCTCCGTGCACACCAGCACCTCCGAGTGACGCACGCCGTCCAGCGCGTCCACCCAGATCTGAGGCAGCTCCGTCACTGTCACCATCACACACACCGCACATACATGAATGGATCCACTGCCCGTGCATGGAAATATGCCCTTCTCACCTTTCGGCCATCGTGGTCGCAACCCAACTGTCCTCCTTCCGCAAAGCGTCCTGACAAGAAACACACACACAAACACACACACACACTCATCCACACTGGCCATCCCTCATACACTGCACAGCCTCTCACCTGGTGTTGGGGCATGACTCCGACCTTTTGACGGCCTCAACGCAGCTCCTCTCCGCCTCCCTCTGCGCCCTCGCCGCCGCCCCGATCGCCCCGTCCTCACTCACCGTCTCACTCTCGGGCGGGGTCGGCTCATCCACACCATCGTCCTCATCAGAACAACAGATGGCTGCTCGTCCCAGGACAGTCGGGGTATCGGCGACGGTCGTGGGCGTGTCATTGTCGTGCCCGTCGGAGGGCAGGGCGGCGTTCGACAGGCCGGTGAGATCTCTCAGCATTGGGCCGATTCATGCTCGAGGCATCGAATTGTTGCGATACGCTAGGCTGGCAAGTGCGATGAACGATGCGATAGCGGGATTCCGATGCGATTCGTTTTTCTCTCAGCGAGTGACAAACCCTGCACAAACCCTTCGGTCTTCAAACCCTGGGCATTGCTATGAGCTTGCTGACGTCATCTGCCATCATCTTTCCCCCGGTCTTGACCCGTCTTCCTCTGCACCTCCATTTTCGGCTTGTCAGCTGATGACGACTGCCATGACCGATGAGCCTCAGCCATGCCCGGTCTGTCTGACGCCCTCCTCAACCTCTCGCGTGGCCCTGCCGTGCGGCCATGACTGCTGTGTGGACTGCGCCGAGAGATGGTTGCTGGCGACTGTCCAAGGCGCAACGCCCGGACAGCTGAATGACAGGGGAGCGGTCGATGCTGTGTGTCCGGTGGGAGCGGCAGATGACGGATGCCCAGCGATGGACATCACTGGAGTCATTCACAAGTGCTCTCAGGACGTCAGAAGCGCCATCAGTATGGGGGGGACGAAAGGGAAACACACACGTATTGCGATCGATGTTGTGGCGACGAGGGCCGAGGACAATCGTGTGGTGTGTGGTGTGTTGATGCAGGTGCCCGTCTGGTTCGCCTGGCGCTGTGTTCGTGCGACGACGTCGCCGTGTGTCCCTCGTCCTCATGCGACTATGTGGGTTTCGTTTCCCCTGGCCAGACGAGTGCCACCTGCGGCAAGTGCGGCCGGTCCTTTCCCCTGTCGGCTGGCCCAGAAGGCCTGACGCACCAGGCGCACCACTTGTTCAGCTCACTCTGGTGAGAGAGAGAAGCAATGAAGGACGATTGTGTGGATTTGACAATAGTATGTGTGTGTGTGTGTGTTTGTATCGTGCGGCTGGCTGCAGGAAGCTGCTATTCACTCGGCGGTGCCCGAAGTGCAATGCTCATGTCGAGAAGGACGGAGGGTGCCTTCACATGACCTGCGCGAGGTGCCGACATGACTGGTGCTGGGCCTGCAGCAAACCGTGGTCGCCGGAACACGCCACTCAGTGTGCCTACCCTCTCTCAGCCCCTCTGCTGCAGCTCTCTCTGCCACCCTTCGCCCTCTCGGCACTCATGTGGTGCGTCATCCTGGCCACTGGCTGCATCGCAACGCTCTCCTTCCCCGCCATCCGGTTGGTTGTGGTCGGCCTCTGCTTCCATGGCGTGTGCTTCGAGATGGGCTGCTGGCTGATTCTCTATCTCTGGGACATCATCATCAAGGCGCCCATGGGGCGAGAAGGAAGCCATCAGCATCACCACGTGTCGGCTCAGAGGTCGATCCGTGTACGGTTTCTACGCGACGGCAGGGTGGTGCTGCGCACGCCGCCGCGGCCGTTTTCCGCTTTGCTGCTGTGCGACAGGCGAAGAGCGAAGGAGAGGCAACGGATACTCCGCAATCTGCCGTTCGTCGGTGCCGTGATGGTCGTGTGGGTCGCTGCTGGCGTGGTCTTTCCTCTGGTCCGCACCTCCCTGCTGAGCGTCTTGGTGGTGGTGGTGCTGGGGGGCGGGAAGCGTGTGTGGGTGTGCCTGGTGCAGTGGCGGCAGGTGCGGGAGTATGTGCGGTACTTCGAGCAGATGGGCATCGATTGCCGAGTGAACAACTCGCTGCACCCGACTGAGCAGGGTGATGCTGCCGTCAAGCACAGGGACCACTACGACTGACCGCATTCATCCGTTCGTCTGTCTGTGTTGATAGCTATCGTCGTGTTGAGATGAGTGAATGGTTGAATGAATGGTTTTCCTTCAGTGTTGGTGTTGCCCTTCAGGCTTTTTCTTGCTTTGTGCTCGAAGTTGCCGTGGTGGGACGCTGTGTGTGTCATGCTGATCAATGCTCCTGGTTGAGCCGAATAGGCACACAATCAGGCAGAAAGGTCCATGAAGGCAGACAGACAGGCAGACAGACAGAGGGAAGCCAGACATGAAAGAAAGTAGGCACACCAACACCCACCCACACACATATACACCCTCGCGAGCAGAGCATCAGATGGACAGCACCGATAAAACGGAGAGCACGCCTTCATTCATTCGTCCATTCATTCATTCATTCATTCATCGGTTCTCACACACATGTCAGCATCTCGCCAGTCACCGGCCCGTTTGTTTGTCTATCGAGCCGTCGGTCGGCCCATACAGAGGGAGCGACACAAACACGACGCGCACAGCATCACACCCCGCAACCACCCACGCACAGAAAGAGAGTCAGGGAGAGATACGGAGGCCGCCTCGATGGCAGCCGGCTGGGAAGCCGCCACGAGATAAATGGCTTGCTCTCTTCTCTTGCTTTGTGCTCAAAGTGACCGTGGTACCGTGGGATGTTGTCTGTCTACGTCATGCTCATCAATGTCTACGCATTGCACCGACAGGCTCACACGCAGAATGGTCGATCAAGGCAGACAGGCAAGTCGTTGTTTCAAACGATGGCAGTCACACACACACACACACACAGAGAGAGAGAGAGAGGGCGTCCAAACACAAACTCGGTAGGTATACAAATACGTTTCGTCTGCACATGTGTAGACAACGGCTTGTCAGACACACATAAACACACCCTCGATGCAGGCACGTCGCAGGGCATCAGATGGACAGGGCATCCACACCAATAAAAGGCTGGCATTCATCGGCCCTCGCACGCATGACAGCAGCATTGAATTTCTGTCTATAAAACCTCCCACCAACCCAGGGGGAGCGAGAGAGGCATGACGGACACACAAGAAGTGAGTGGGTGAGACAGAGGCATGGCATGGCAGCCGGCTGGAAAGCGATCATGAGTGTGTAGGTACATCTAGGCCTGCAGATATGGAGGCACTAAAAACGACGCGAACACCACCGCCGTCGCAAACTGACAAATACACACGCACAGGGACGATTGCGGTGTGGTTACCTCTGTACGTCAGACTAGCGTGTGTCGTCACGTACCTTCTGCCCCTCTCGCACAAATGGAGCGATTATCGGTCGAACATCATGGCAGCGACGGCGGCCCCAAGCACCACACGAGCCAACCGAGTCGTGATGGGGAAGCGGACTTTGAAGGCGTCACCCCCACCAGGCACGGCACACTCCGTCGTGTAGGCGCGAACACTCACTGCGAGCACACAAACGAGACCAAAGCGACCAAAGCGAGAATTAAAGTGAGAGCGTTCTTCACCATGTGCTGTGCTGTGTTGTGCCGTGCTGACCGAAGGTCGTTGGGCGGGTCATGGGTACAGAGATATGAACCCACGCGACGAAGGGGTGGCTGGCGTCGGTCAGCACGAGGCAGCGTAGCGGGACAAAGTCCGATCCCTGTCGTAGCCAGGACGTTGTGCTGGTGGTGCACCCATCCACTCGTGTGTGGGAGGACTGCATGAGCAGCGCCAGAATCCGCTCGTGGCCAACATGTCTGTCGACAGACACACAGACAAGTGGGCATGTCAGTCACATCACACACCAATATGTCCCCCTCTGCCACCGCTCACCTGCCGGCCAGGTGCTGCGTGGGCTGGCGGTTCTGGCGGAAGTGGTCGAGGATGAAGTACTTGACGAACGACGACGCTGAGGCATACAGGCTGCCGTCTTGCGGCGCACACATCGCCTTCCAGTAGCCACCCATCGGACTCGTCGAATACTCCACTGAGCAGCGGACCGGCGGGTCATGCGCCTGCCGGTGCTGGTGGAAGGGGTGGTTGGCCGGAATTGGCGGGTCCACGATCATGTCGAAGTCGTCGTGGTCCAGGATGGCGCGCAGCCGGTCGCCCTGCTCGAAGAGCTGGAAGCACACCTGCGGCCGTGGCTCGAACGTCATGCTGGACGGCAGCATGACCTTGGCATCGCCGAAGTTGATGTGACGGCCGACGAGCTTGAGGTGTGCCAACACACGTGGCTCAGATAAGAATGCCTGCACACACCAATCACATAGTCGAAATCACATTTCCCCCGCCAAACAAAGCGGGACCATCCCAATCTCACCGTCTTGTTTGCGTATCGGTCGAGTATGTCGGCAGCAGTGAGGCTGACGGGCAGGTGGCAGTAGCCGCACTTCGCCGCCAGCTCAATCACCTTGCCCATCTCGTCCGAGCCTCCCGCCTCCGTCACGCACACCGCCGTCAGCAGGGCGGCCTCATCCATGTGCTGATCGTCGAACACCAGCAGGCTGAGCGGCTGCCCGTTGACCACCCGCCGCAGCCCCGCCTGCTGGCTGAGTGAGTGGGTCAGCCACTGCCGCAGCTGGGCCGCCCTGAAGGGGTTTCTGAGCCACTTTGCTGTGACTCGCAGCGTAAGTATGTCCTTGAGGCCGAGCAGAAAGTTGCTCCGGCGACCAACGGACACGTAGTGGACGGGATGCTGCTGCTGCTGCTCCTGTTGGGGCTGCATCATCACGGCCGTTGGATCTATCGCCGAGGGGACGAGGGCGCGAGGAGGCGGTTGGACGAAACGAGATGGGAAGAAGCAAACGGCCGAGTGCGATGCGTGAGTGATTTTTTGAGCTAAGCTCGCATGATTGGCTTTGCGAGATGCGCGTGATGCGATGCGAGCACCTTAAGCACTTTACTACGTAGACGAGCCTTCCTTTGTTGCCGCCTGAGATGTCATTGAGCCGCTGTTAGATCCGCTGTTCCCTCCCTGCGACCTATCTACATGCCCAGGATGGCCGAGTCCGGCGTGCGTCGCACCTCCAACCGGACGGTCTTCGACGGCGTGACCGACAACGGTGCCCCTGAGGCCATGCTCAATGGTGCTGGGCCGGGTCGCGCCAAGGGACGGTCGGGCTCCAAGCTGCTGCGGCGGATGGTGGCAGCTGTCACGGTGCTGGCCATATTCGGCACTTCACTCACCTTCCTGCTATTCAGGTAAACCCATGACACTCGCAGACAGATCCATGACATCGTATTGCTGAGTGTTGTGCTTCTTTCCCCTTCGTGGTGCGGTGCAGATCTTTCCTCTATGACCCGGGGTATAGTCTAGACCCGTCATACCTCTACTCCACCCACTACGGCCAGCTGGACATCCCCCAGCACCGCTCACTCTCCCGCGCAGCCAGGCACAGACTCGGCGGGGCCAAACGCGACGCAGCCAGCCAGGCGGCCGCCTCGGGAGGCAACACGAGCAATCAGCAGCCGCAGGCGGGCGCTTTCTCTGCTGTTGGTGAGGTGGATGTTGCGGCAGCAGCGGTTGCAGCAGCGGTTGCGGCAGCGGATGAAGATCCGAGGCGTCATCGGCCCGAGTACATTCAGGAGTTCCTCGACTGGCTAGGGAAAAATGGGATGCCCTCGACTAGCTACGAAGGGTCCGTCAAGACCGACATGTCCAGCGGCCGGCTCGTACTCAAGGCGGCACGGTGAGTAAGCGGAGAGAGAGAGAGAGAGAGAGAGAGAAGGCTGTATGCGGAAAGAAAGTATGTATGTGTGTGTGTGTGCGTGTGTCTGGTGTAGTGACATCAAGTGGGGTGAGCTGATCTTGAGTGTGCCGGCCTCGGCTGTTCTCAACATCACCGCCGCCAAATGGAGCAGACCGGGCGGGCCGCTGATCGATGAAGCTCGCAAACGACGTAACACAAACGATGCCACAACCACACACACACACACATCCATCCACCCACCGATTCATTCAGTCATTCCACGTGAGCTTCCTCGCCTGTTTGGTGCCTTGGTGTCTGCCTGTGCCTGTGCCTGTGCCTGTGCCTGTGCCTGTGTCTGTGTGTGTGCAGGTGATCTGTCCGTGGAGGAGGCCATGTATGCCTTTGCGATGCACGAGTGGCTGCGGGCGGACAAGAGTCACTGGTGGCCATGGATCAAGCTGTGGCCGCAGCAACCTGACGCTATCGTCTACTTCGACCAAAAGAATCTCGATGAGGCGCAGGTGAGACTGGCACATTGAGAGAGAGAAAGGGATGCCCGCCCGCATCTCTTTGTCTCAATGTCCGGGAATGGGCGATGTATGTGTTGTGTGCGCAGGATTTCCGGTTGTCTGATGTGCGTGACGATGAGCTGCAGGACGTCACTCGCCAGTACCAACACATCTTCGCAGAGACGCTCACACGAAAGAACAAGAAGATATTCCCGCCAACCCTCTACACAGGCACGTGACACTCCACACACACGGCGCACCGACCGACGCGCACACATTGCACCTTGTGAATGGGTGGGTGGATGTGTCCTGCAGAGGATTTGTTCAAGTGGGTGCGTTCGAATCTGATGTCGCGGTTTTTCCACGTGGCCGATGCGGTGGAGCAGATCTACGTGCCGCTCGTGGACTTCCTTGACCACAAAGACCTGCCCACATGCAATCAGGTACACACACACCCACACACACACAGATGAATGAGTCCATCCATCCATCCATCCAACCAATCGGTCGATCAACCAATCGGTCGATCAACCGACTGATTGCCTGCAGGACGACGACACGATCATGTTTGGGTGGAACGCCAAGACGCGTCGGCACGAGGTCTTCGCCAACGAGGACTCGCCGGCCGACACCCCGCTGTCCCTCTGCTACAACCCCGACACCAACATGCAGCTCCTCAGGTACTACGGCTTCGCAATGCCCCAAAACATATGGGACGAGGTGACCGTGGTCGTCACCATCGATAACACCGACACGGACACAGCTGACGGGGGCGGTGGCGGCGGTGGCGGTGGCGGCGAGAATGGTGGGGGTGGTGGGGGCAAGGGCGGCGGTGGGGGGTGGGACGAGGAGGACGTCAGTATGAATGACGGAGAGCCCTACACAATGGAGGTCATGGTGCAGGTAGGTCAGACGGACAGACAGACAGACCATCCGTGTGTGTGTCGACCTGTCCATCCTTGTGTGTTGGTGCGCGTGTGTGTGTGTGTGCAGGACCCCCGCCGCCCGGACTTTCAGCTCGAGAAGACCATTTTGGAGCTCTGCGGCGCGGCAGAGGACCTCTGGACAGACGACGATGCCGAGGACGGTGGGGTCGGAGCACAGCAGGAGGTGCCGCCCACCGGCATGACCAACACATGGATCAACGACCGCCGCCGATGGCACGAGAACGACGTTGACGCCATGCTCGCACTCTACCGACAGAAGCGAGACAAGGCGGCAAACGCCCCACCAGCAGCAGCTGACAGCGAGGGTGACGGTGGTGGTGGTGGTGGTGCCAAGAAGGCGGTGCAGGTGACTCCCTGGTGTGTGGCGCAGTCTCTGTCAGTGCTGGACGACGTGTTGAAGGGCTACCCCACGACCCTTGAGCAGGATCAGCAGCTGTGGCAAGAGCTGACGGGCAAGGGCGGCGGGGTCAGCCAAAGCCGAAAGAACCAGAGACAGGACGCCGCCTACAGATCTGCTGTCGCATATCGGTGAGTGAGGCCACCGACACACACAACACTACCATACACACATGCTCCTGTCTGTCTGCCTGTGTGTGTGTGTGTGTGTGTGTGTGTTGTGTGTGTCATCAGTCTGAATGCCAAGCGCATCTTGACAGAGGTCAAGGCGACCATCATCAAGTACCGCGATCTCCTCAAGATCCCCGTCGTCGACGTCAACAAGGCCAAACCAAAGACAGGCGCAAAGGGCAGCAGCGACAGCAAACAGACCATCGACAACAAACCACCGGCCCCTGCAGCCCACAACCAGCCCCCACCAGCACCAGCAGCAGCAGCAGTGGACACATCAGACCAGAAGGCCAGCAGCGGCAGCGGCAGCAGTGAGGGCAAGGAGACGGTCAAGCAGCGGCTGGAGAAGCTCAAGATGGCCGGACAGGTGCCCGACACACACCAACAGCTACAGGGAGACGGCAAGGGCCAGCCAGAGGGGCAGCCAAAGGACAAGGGCCAGCAGCCACCAGCACCACCACCAGCAGCAGCGAATGACGGGCCGAGGGTAGCCGTGGCGCAGCGATAGCAGAGGGGCAGGGGGAGGGAGGGGGGCATTAATTGAGGGTGGCTGGGTGTTGACGGACGGATGGATGGATCTATCCGTCTGTCCGTCCGTCCACATCACTGTGTATGTATGTATTTGTGCAGGGGAGGGTGGCGGGGTGGGGTGGTGGGTGTATTTAGCTTGCTCATGGCTGACCCACGAGCGGATGACAGACAGGCAGGCAGGCAGACGGCAGCCACAATGTAGGTGTGTGTGAGGTGAGGCGAGCCAGGCGAGGCGGGCGATATGATAGGTAGGTGTGTGTGCCGTGTCCTTTGGTCCGTCCCTTTCCTCAGTCTCTCATGAGTGTGCGTACGTGTGGCTGTCTTACCTGTCCAGTTGGATCACTCATACAATGAATAGATAACCGACACACTCAGATAAGACAAGAACGAGCTATCAGTCCCAATGTAGGGTTCAGTGGTAGGGTGCAAAACCTTCTCGAAGAACGCGTTTCGGTGATGAGCAACGGGAAAAAGAACGTCTTCAACCAGGTGTTTCACGTTTCCGAGCGCCCTCCCCGCCCTTTTGACTGGTTGTATAAATGAAAAAACAGACAGATCTGAGTTGTGTGGTGAAGATCTCTCCTGCATCGCACCTGCCGCCCGAATGCCCCTCCATTCGGGGTTTGAACCCTTCGGTCTACAAACCCCGCTCACGACCCTTCGGTCTTAAAACCTTTCAGTCTACGCTAGCCTTAAAACCAGTTCCGGCCGTCAACAGGGTTTAAACCCTTCGGTCGTCAAACCCTGCTCAGGATGTGGCGGCGTCCCCTGGGCCTTTATGAGGGGGTTTTTGACGTGTCTAGGTGTCCTACCGAGCGTCCTCGATGGCAAGGTCCCTTCCCTGAAGAGTGCGAGGGCTACAAGGACGTGCCGGTGTACTACAAGAACCACCCACAAAGGTGTGCCGACTGCGCAGCCAGACCGGGACCGAAGGGGAGGCCTACAATGTGAAGCTGATATGGAAAAAGTTCAAATCTCGCGGACTGGAGGCCAACAGGCTGGTCAGCCAGACCAATCAGAGGGGACTCATTCCATTGGTGTTCAAAGTGTCGGTATTGTCAGGTGCGCTTCATTGGCACACGTGGTGAGTTTGAAGTACGCTACCTGGAACACCGCGATGCATACGCCATCTGGGTGGGTGAGGCGCCGAAAGGGAAAACTGACACGAAGGCACACGGACGCAGACAGACAATCGTGACTGCCTGTCTGACTCTCCCTCTCCATTTGTGTGTGTGTGTGTGTGTGTGCGTGCGCCTGTGTGTGTCAGGGCCACTGTAGAGTCCCGAGAAGGAGGAGATATGGCGGAGAGAGAGCGCCTTCTTTTTGGTGAAATGGTGGCGCCGCTTCAACGAGAGGCGGCGGCAGCGGGCAGCCCATGATGAGGGAACTCAACCATTACTCACCTAAGTGAACTGAGGCGGGAGAGGCAGTCGTGTCCATGATGTGTGCAGCTGGGAAGGAGTAGATATGGGACGAGAGAGGTAGTTGCAAATAAACAGACACCGGCACAGCTCTGTCACACGACGACAGAGCTGTTTGTTCCTCCATGTATATAGGCAGAATGTTTGCATGTGCGACGCCAATCTGTTTTTATTGTCATTTCCTGTATTGACGGCACCGTTTATGATGCTTGAGACAGACGACAAAAGTCAAGACAACATCGTGACAAGCCAGCCGAGGGTCTGCCGGTAGCTGGGCCCGAATGTGCCGCGCCAGACATTGAGCAGAAGTTGAACTGTCGTTGTTGAATTCCTCCGCCGTCGATCTCATATGTTGCACTCTGGCGGGCCGAGAAACCCTTCAGTCTTGAAACCCTGCAGGTTTTTGACTGGCGCTCCGACATCACCACGCGTTTACCCGCGCTTCACTCCGATCGCCGAATCGCCGAGGCGCCGCATCGCCATACACGGGAAAGGAGTGGAGCACCTGATCTGATCAGCCGGCTGGGAACGAGGAAAGCCTCACAAGCAGCACCAGCAGCACCAGCAGCAGCGACCACAGCAGACCAACCGCACATGAGCCAGTCGCAGGCTCCGCAGCAGCCGCCAGATTCAGCCAGTCAAGTCAGCAGTTGAGAGGAGGAGAGGATGGCGAATCGTCAGAAGGTCGCTTACTTCTACGACTCTGACATCGGGAGCTACTACTATGGTGCGGGGCACCCCATGAAGCCGCAGCGCATGAAGATGACACACGCGCTCATCATGGCGTATGACCTATACAGGAAGATGGAGGTCAGCCACACACGCACACAAGGGAGGGAGGGAGGCCGGGAGGGAGGGACGGAGGGAGGAGCCTGTGTGTGTGTGTGTGTGTGTTGTGTGTGAAGGTGTACCGTCCCCACAAGGCGAGTGACCCTGAGCTTGAGATGTTCCACGAGCAGGACTACATCAACTTCCTCTCACAGATCAACCCAGAGACCACAAAGGTCAGACAGACAGACAGACAGACACACAAGGAAGCACACGCACACATGATCAGGTTCTTACGTGTGTGTGTGTGTGTGTGCGTGTGGTGCTGCTGTTGACCGATCAGGATTGGATCCAGCAGATGAAGCGCTTCAACGTGGGCGAGGCCACCGACTGCCCCGTCTTCGACGGACTCTTCGAGTTCCAGGTGTGTGAATGAGTGATACCGACCAATCTGCTGCCTGTCTGTCTGCTTGCGATGTCCATCTGTGTGCGTGCGTATGTGTGTGTGTGTGTGCAGCAATCGTGTGCGGGTGCGTCGATCGACGGCGCGCAGAAGCTCAACAACGGCCAGAGCGACGTGTGCATCAACTGGTCTGGGGGGCTGCACCACGCCAAGAGGGCAGAGGCCTCGGGCTTCTGCTACATCAATGTGAGAGCGCACGGGCAGACAGACGTCCAGGCGACCACAGACACCCAGAGAGGGAGATTCACCCATCCATCTCTCTGTGTGTGGGTGGGTGGGTGGATTGGTCCAGGACATTGTGCTGGGCATATTGGAGCTGCTCAAGTACCATGCTCGCGTAATGTACGTCGACATCGACATTCATCACGGCGATGGGGTCGAGGAGGCATTCTACGTCACACCGAGGTAGGTGGGTGCAGTCAGGCAGACACACACAATACAGTACTGAACGCCATAGCCAGGTGGAATCGCCTGTATGTCTGTGGTTGTCCTTGTGTGTGTGTGTGTGTGTGTGTGTGTGTGCAGGGTGATGACAGTGTCGTTCCACAAGTTTGGCGACTTCTTCCCGGGCACAGGGGACATCACCGACGTCGGAGCCCAGAAAGGTGACTGACCAGCCAAACAGATGCTATGCTGCACACCGATGAGTGAGTGCTCCATCTGCCTGTTGTCTGTCTGTCTGTCTGTCTGTCTGTGCGTGTGTGGTGTGGCACAGGCAAGTACTACTCAGTGAACGTGCCGCTGCAGGACGGCATCGACAACGAGTCCTTCCTGGCCCTTTTCCGCCCCATCATGAACAAGTGCGTCGAAGTCTACAGGCCGGGCGCAATCGTCCTCCAGTGCGGCGCTGACTCGCTCCACGGTAAATAGGGGGCGATCGATGGATGCATCGCATCCAGCCATCCACACACACATGCATGTGATGTGGCTGCACATGACATGTGGCGGGTGGGTGGGTGCGTTCAGGTGACCGTCTGGGCAAGTTCAATCTGACGATCCAGGGCCACGCTGCGTGTGTCAAGCACTGCCAGTCTTTCAACATCCCGCTGCTGGTGCTGGGCGGCGGCGGATACACCATACGGAACGTCGCTCGGTGAGTGAGCAGTCGTCAGTCCAGTCAACACACAGACAGGGAAGGAGGGAGGGAGGGACCAGTGGGATGCCGGCCGATAGGTGAATGCCTGTGTGTGTGTGTGTGTGTGTGTGTCCATGGGATGGGCGTGCCCATCCATCCATCCATCAGGTGCTGGACTTATGAGACGGGTGTGATCCTCGGTGACGAGAACAACATGGACAACCAAATACCTACAAACGTACGGATCGCATCCCATGTGCCCACCCACCCACTCAGGCACTCAGAGGGATATGGCCTTCGTGTGTCTGCGCTTGTTGACCAGGACTTTTACGAGTACTTCCACCCCTCGTACGAGCTGCTGCTGCCGGCCGGCGGGACGGTCGTCAACCAGAACCCCAAAGACCACCTGCAGAAGACCAAACAGCGGGTATTCGAAAATCTCGGATTTCTCGAACACGCCCCAGGTCGGTACCAACCACACACAACACACCCAACCACACACACACGCACGCACATTGCCCCGTGTGTTGTGCACCCTTCTCTCTCCTCCCTCTCTGTCTCTCTCTTTCTGTGTGTGTGTTTAGGCGTTCAGTTTTCGCACGTCCCGCCGGATTTCTTTGACGACAACGACGACGAGGACGAAGAGATGCAGCGGACTGTGGGGTGGTCGGGCGGCGGCCGGGCCCCGGGCATCATGGACGGGGGCAAGGGCACACACAGAGTAAGGGGCAGGGACAACCCCAATGACCTCTACCCTGAGAACCTTAGAGCGCGAGCAGGATGAATGACCAGACTGATCGACTGACATGCCTGTGGGCGTCCATGCCAGGCACACTCACAGAGAGAGACACACAGGCTTTATTATTCCGTGCTTGCTGAGATAGATGGTCGTCGGTCAATGTTGGAAGATGGTTTATGCAGACAGACAGAGGTCAGGTCGCGCAGCCACAACACAGCAGAGTGGCAGGCAGCACATTGAGAGAGAAGGCGTCACAGATAAGGCACCTGGCTCGAGAAACCGAGACCAGGTCAGGTCAGATCAGAAGGTCCTGCAGTCAGTCAGTCGGTCACTTGGAGGAGAGCATCATCATCTGGATGTAGTCGGTGTAGTTGAACATGCCATCCGCACTGTCCAGCTGACTCACCAACGTACGACCCTGCACACATACACAACCATCCCGCACACACACACAAGGAGAAACAGAAAGAGAAAGACCTGCAGAGACCGACTCATGCGCACGCGCCATATCTCATCTCGACCTCGTCTTCGCTGAGTTTTTCGTGGCCATAGGTGATGAGAGCCTTCTCGAGGTCAGCCACACGAATCTGACCCTCAGGCGCATCACCAGAAAACACCTGCACGCAGGCAGACACACACACATACACACACACAATCGGTGTCTCCTTCGGCTGGCCGGCTGGCTGCAGGTGCGAGGCTCACTTACTTTGAAAGCTCTCCTGACTTCGTCTGGTGTGTAGTCGGCGTTGACTTTGCGCGACATGACCTTGACGAACTCTGAAGAGGGAGCAAACAACAAGCAACAAGCAACAAGACAGCGCAGCAGTCTGCTGTCTCGATGGTGCGGGTTGAGATGACATGAAAAGGGCTGACCGTCAAAGTCGATTTCGCCGTCTCCGTTGTCGTCTATCTCGCTCACCATCAGCTGCAGCTCCTCCTGCGTAGTCGGGATGCCTAGACACCACACAACACAACAGGACACACACGCCACAAGACCAAGAATCACAAGCCAGTGACCCGTTGTGCCGTTTCCCCGTCCCCCCGTCCCCTCTCTCGGCTTTTCTTTGCCCTCAGCTAATGGCAGACAGCCCCCCATTGCTCACCGAGTGTCTCCATGAGCTTCCCCAGCTCATCTGTCGATATGCTCCCGCCGCCGTCGGTGTCCACGAGGTTGAAGATCTCACGAAACTCACGAATGTCGTCGTCTGTCAGGTTCGACGCCATCCTGCCGATCTCAAAGGCGGAACACACCGAAATCTGCCACGCGCCGGCCAGAAACTGCGAGCTAAGATTGCGGCCAGGCTGCATGGTTGCCCAGCTTGGTGCAGACATTGTTCAAGGCAAAATGTTCATGACCGAAAATGATCATACACGAGACAGATGTCTCGCCGCCCATGATCCTTTATTTGTTTGTACACACAACGAACGGCTCATATGTATGTGCATCAGATGTGCATGCGTGTGTTTGTCTGTCTGGGAGGGGAGGGAATGTACACCGTGGCATCCACGCCTAGCTCGATAAAACAGTGCCGACTGTAGAAAACAGTGCTTGACTGACTACACACACAATTGTACATTCACGAATTATCGTGTCGTCCCATGACAAACGTGCCTTCATGCGTATGCCTGGAGGGACGGACTGACTCATCTCTCGGCCCGCAAACTGAAGAGCTGCGGTCTGCTGCCACGCAGCTGATGAGCTGCTGACTCCCGTCACCATGACAACTCCTCCACGCCACAGACAGACAGACAGACAGACAGAAGACTGTGTAGGTGTCATCAGCTGAAATGGTGCCTTACCTTCAGTGACGACCTGAGAAGTGCCGGTGGATAACTCGTCGACCGAACACGACCGCCTCTCCCGCCTTAGTTCACTTAGGTGAGTAATGGTTGAGTTCCCTCATCAGGGGCTGCCCGCTGCTGCCGCCTCTCATTGAAGCGGCGCCACCACTTCACCAAAAAGAAGGCGCTCTCTCTCCGCCACATCTCCTCCTTCTCGGGACTCCACAGTGGACCTGACACACACAGGCGCACACACACACACACACACGTGGAGAGGGAGAGTCAGGCAGGCAGGCAGTCCTGCTGTGTCGGTGTGGCGCCTCACCCAGCCAGATGGCGTATACATCGCGGTGTTGCAGGTCGCGTACTTCGTACTCACCGTCTGTGCCAATGAAGCGCACCTGACAACACCGACACTTTGGACACCAATGGAATGAGTCCCCTCTTACTGGTTTGGCCGACCAGTCTGTTGGCCTCCAGTCCGCGACATTTGAACTTTTTCCATATCAGCTTCGCATTGTAGGCCTCCCCTGCCATGCCGGTCCAACGGCGCAGTCGGCACACCTCTGGGTGGTCTTTGTAGTACACCAGCACGTCCTTGTAGCCCTCGCACTCGGGAGGCCAGGGGCCTCGCCATCGAGGAGGGCGGGCAGGCCGCTGGGAAACGTCAAACACCCTCCTATAAAGGTGCAGGGGACGTCGCCACATCCTGAGCAGGGTTTGACGACCGAAGGGTTTTAAGACCGAAGGGTTCTGAGCGGGGTTTGTAGACTGAAGGGTTCAAACCCCGCGGAGGAGGGTGCATTCGGGCGGCAGGTGCGATGCAGGAGAGATCTTCACCACACAACTCAGATCTGTTTGTTTTTGTGTGCGTTCAGGTTGAGAGGCTCGTTGGGAAGATGAAGATGGCTTCCCCCCCGAACGGGGAAGGGGAGGTTTGGAAGATGGTGATGTTGGAGGAAGAATCGGTATGCAGCTGTGTGCACGGGAACTCGCCATGACTACACACACGTGACGCGAGTTCTGTCTGTCAGACTGTCTTCCCTCTCAGCCACGACCTCCTCATTCGCGTGTTCGGCTCCCTGTGTCCTTTCGACCTCTCGCGGCTCCTTCCCGTCCTCCCGGCACCCCTTGTCATCCGCGCCTTCACACACCACACCCACATGACGATCAACGGCTCGGCAGAGGCTGGGGAGAGGAGGCTCTGGGAGGATCTGCAGCCGTCCGAGGCCTTCACATGGGGGAGGCGAGCTGTCCATCTCAGAGAGCTGCGCGTCGTGCTGCCGAATGGAGCGCCCAGGTGGTGCATGGCGGTGTGGATGGCGGTGTTGGAAGGCCATGCAGAAGGAAGGCGACAACTGGCTGGCCGCGAGTTGGCCAACCGAGTCAGGAGCGTCGAGGACAGAGGCACCTTGAGGGTACTTGCCTTCTCGCGAGATGCTGAAGGGGAGCCTTACCCATCCGGCAACACCGTGTCAGCCGACCCGCTTTCCCCTCCCCAATCGCCCGTCGGTCTGCCGGCACTCGAGGAAGTGGTTGGGATGCCTCTCAGCTGTGCGCTCCTTCGACACGACGGCCGCCATTGGTCCACCCCTGGCCTGTCGGTGCTGCGGCTTGACAACCATGACGAGGACACCACTTGCTTCGGCCACCAGGAGCATGATCCGTCGGAATCCTCTTCCCTCGTTGAGAGAGCACTGCGCCCATGGCTGAGTGAATGCCACTCACTGGAGGCCGTCGACGAGGACTTTCCCACCCACGACAGCAACCTGGCCCTCAAGACGGAGATCGTCAGCCTGCTGCCGAAGCGCCGCTCGCTCAGCCGTCTGCGAGAGTTGGGCAGCCTCCAGGCGTACAACTACATGGTGCACCAGGTCGATCAGCTCCGCGACGCCCTTGTTGCCAGGGGCTGCCACCGATCTGTGCGGAGCGTGCCCATCGAGCTCGGCTGCCATCTCGCCTTGGACGACATCCGCTATGTGGAGCATCTGGCGGGTCTGTCCATGGCCGTCATGACCCCAGAGGCGCTGTGGGGCCAGCCGCAGATTATCAGCGAGGGGGGCGAGATCGATGCCGCCGTCATCAAGTCGGTGTCATCACAGGAGCAGCAGGAGGAGGGCCATCAGCTTAAGGACGGCAGGGCGGCACTCGTGGCCAAGTACGTGAGGGAGTACGCCTGTGCTGCTGTTGTCGTGCGCTTCTCCTTCTCCTCCGATGCCGGTGGGGACGTCTTGTCGCGCGACAAGTGGCTGGGTGTCTTCCCCGTTGCCGAGTCGCTCATCATCTCTGCCGATGAGGCCGACAACAACCACAGCGACAGTGACAGAGAAGACCTCCGGGTGCGGGAGGCCGTGTCGGTTGCGGCCAGCATGCCGGCACTGACGCATGTCACCTTCAAGGGCGGGGTGCGGCCCTCACTGGTGGTGCGGTTCCTGACGGCTCTCCAGTCGACTCACAAGGGCCATCCACTGCGAGTGACAGTTCTCGTGACGGCAGAGAGCCTGGCTGATGGTGGCCTGTGTGCGGTGGGGAGGAAGATGCCGCTCATCGACAGGCTGGACATCGTGCTGCTAGGTCAGCAAGGAAGGGACACACACACAACCTGCGAAGAGCGGTGTACAAATGTCCTCTGTCTGCTGTGTGTGTGGTGTGTCCAGGCAGTGTGCCGCCCTCAGTGTGTGTGGGAGACCTCTTCAACGCTCTCAGATCGCTGCTGTTCTGGCTGCCGGCGATCCGCTCGAGAGTGGTTCTGCGCGACGAGTCGCTGCTCGAGCATGTCAGCGCCCATTTGGCTGTCGCACATACATGTGGGATGGGGCTGAGAGGGGGTGCCCTGGTCGTGCGGCGGGATGGACAGTAGGATCAGTGGCTATAGATTCGCGTTGCGTGTGTGGGCTTTATTACGTGTTAAGTGTATGTGTGGTGCCATGAGTGCTTTGTTGCGGAACACACAAAACCATTCATGACATGAGATGTCTGTCGGCCGGCCGATCTATCTCGAGAGTCTGATCTACCCACTGCAGACGAACGGCATGAAGCCGGCACGCCACTCGTGAATGCACTCAGCTAACCAACAGCCACCAACACTCGGGCAACTCAGTCAATCACACCGTCACGGCACACGGACATTCGCATGAAGCGGCATGCACTTCTGGCTCCACCACCGACTCTCATCCATCCGTTTGTCCATTTGGTCTACAAAGCATCCTATCCCTCCGCCTCCGCGTGGCCTCCTCACTGATGCCCATGTCGTCCCACCCCCTGCCATGGCCCCCATCAGCCCCTCGCCCCAGGGTATGCGACGGATGGCGATAGAACCCACCATGCGGCCGAAACGGCCCCCTCGGCGGCCCCCTCCCCACCCCCTGAGTGTTTGTCGCCCCAGTGGCGTGAGACACGCTCAGTGCCCCGCCCCCATGGCCCTGATGCTGCTGCTGGAAGTGGGGTTGTTGGTTGCCGCCCATCTGGTGCTGTTGGCCATTGGGGCCCATGAGTTGCTGTTGCTGCTGCTGCTGCACATTGTGTCTAGGGGGCGGTGGGAAAGGCTGTCTGGGAGGTCTCCGGGGAACGGGGCGAGGAGGGGGACGGTTGGCGGTCGTGTTGGTGGTCGGGGCGGGGGCGGACACACTGTTGTCGTTGCTGCTGGTGAAGCCAGATGCAGCAGCAGCAGGTGCTGCACCACGAACAAACGGACGACGCGGCACCGGACGAAACGGCGCCTGACATGAAGAGAACCCCACACCATCCAATGTGTGCACGTGTTGCCATCCTATGCTGTCTATGTGATGTGTCTGTGTCTCTGCCGCACCGGCGTGTTGGGCATGCGAGGCATGCGAGGTCGGGTGAATGCTCCTGGCGCCGCTTGCTTGGGTGCGGGTGCGGGTGCGGGCGGCGGCTGCACGACCTCGTCGAAATCGATGTCACTGAGGTCGATGTCGTCCAGGTTGATGTCGTCATGCGCAGCCTGAACCAACGCACATGGGGGGGCAAGGTCGGGTGGTCTTGGTGTACCTGTTGCTGTGGCTGCGGTGGCTGCTGTGGCGCCATGGGTGCCGCTGCAGCAGCTGCAGCTGCAGCAGCGGGTGGTGCTGGTGGGAGCGGGACTAGGTCATTGAGGCCATCGAGAAGGGCGTCATCGAAATTATCCAAATCAAACTGAAAGACACACACACTCAGCCATCCCGGGGAAGCCATCTCTCTTAGGAGCGGTGCTCTCACGTCGTTACTGATGGCCTGCTGCTGATTCTGCTGCTGCTGCAGAGGCCCTCCAGACGGCTGCACACCACCTCCTCCCGCGTCCCCACCCCCAGACGCCCCCACAGCTACTCCGCTGCGATGCAGTGGCCGGCCACCACCAAATGGCGGCCGTCTGGGCGGCGGGGGATACGCCGGCGGCCTGACGATGGTGGCCTTCTCGGGCGGCGGATGGGCCTTGGCATTCTGATGCTGGTGCTGGTGCTGGTGGTTGTATTGGTATTGTGCCGGGGGCGGTCGTGGCGGTGGAGGTCGGTGCGGCCGGTGGTGCGCGTGAATCTGAGGCCACAGATCGACAGCCTCCTGTGTGTACCATACATATGCAGTACGAACCACACAGGATGATCGATCCACACATCCATATGTACAACGAGGGGAGGGGAGGGGTGGGAGAGTGCTCACGTCATTGGATGGCGTCATCATGCTGGGACTGAGCGCCCGCAGGCCGGGAGGACGCACCGGCCCTGACGGCGGATACCCTGACACACACCAGGCGCCCATGCGTCCACCCAGCCATGCACAAGTGTCCCTTCCAGTCTCACCGCGCTGATTCGGGTGCGATACTGGCGGCCGAGCTGGCGCTCGAGGAGGGCGTACGAAAGGTCGTGGAGGCGGACGTGGCGGGACCTGTGGCGGCGGGCCAGCCGCCGCCGTGTTGGCGATGTCCTCATCATTGATGCCGTCCAGGAGCGCCGACAGGTCCTGAGAGAGAGAGAGAGAGAGAGGGAGAGAGAGAGAGGGAGAGAGGGAGAGTGTCAACACAGGCGTCTCCTCACCCTCTAGGTGTCTGTCTGCCTCACCGAGTCTCGACCCTCGCGGGCGTCATGGTCGCCGTGGGCTGGCACAGCAACGGCCGCAGCGACAGGGGGCTGCACACCAGCGCCACCACCAGCACCAGCACCAGCACCTGCACCAGCACCTGCGCCTCCTCCAGCCTCAACGCCGTCCAGTGGGTCTAAGTTGTCCAGCAGGCCATCCAAATCATCGCCTTCATCAATCGCCATCGCACCACCCCCAGCAGCACCAACCCCCACCTGACACACACATGACCAGAAGCCATTCATGTATGCATCTGTGGGACACACACGATACGTGAGTACCTGTGCATCGATATGGTTATGGCCTCCATCACGCTGCTCTACTTGCTCCCCACCCTCACCCTCACCTCCACCCTCTCCCATATCGCCCACACCGCCCTCCCCTCCCCATCCCCCTCCTGCTGCAGCCGCTCGCTGCAACTCCCTCGGTCCGTCATCAATGGCCATGTCCATGTTATCTGCAGCAGCTGCCGCCATTTCAGCCGAGGCTGCCGCGACGGGCTGGCCTCGACGACGGGACCTCCTTGGCGAGTTCGAGTCCCGTGGCGGTGCGACATTGAGCGCCAGCATGGCCGCGCCGAGCCGTCGGGGGAACTCGGGCGGGTGTGGAGGTGGCGGGGGAGGGGGCGGGGCGGGTGGTGACGGGGGGGAATAGGGGTAGGGTGGGCCGTCCGCTTCAGAAGCCGTCTGGCTCATGGGATCCTGAATACGCATGGGAAATGAGAGAGAGACAGATGGAGAGAGATGGAGAGAGAAGGAGAGGCGACGGATGCATGGATGGATGGATGGATGGGTGTGTTTGCGTGTGCCGTTCACCTGCTCATTCTTCCTGTCGAATTCTTCTACCAGCATGGTGAGGTACTGCTCGAACCGCACCGAGCCCTCACGGCCCTCGGGCACCGTCCGCTCGGTCACATGAACCACCTGAACCACCACACCATGCACACGGCAGATCTCTTGCGAAATATCATCTGTGTCTCCTTTGTCCGCCGCCTTACCCCTTGCCGAATCATGGCTGCGGCGAAACTCACGCCAATCAGCCGTCGGAAGGACGCGTCAGCACGCTGCAGATGGTTGAAGGGCGTCGGAGAAAGGCATCCGCCATTGCAAATGCGGTCACAGAGGGCTCCTTACGACCCCCAGCGACGCCTTCAACGCCATTGCTGCCATTTCATCCGCCCGCCTCGGCCAGGGGAGCGAGCAGTTTCACGGAGCCATTCCCTTTGAGCTCGCGCTTTCCTCGTGCATCCTCTTCTCCCCCTCTCTGTCACCTCCTCTCTGCCTCTATGACCGTTCCATGCCCCGAGCCCTGACACATCCGCCCACGGTGGACGGCATTCGGTGCCGATGAAGGAGCAGCAAGAGAGAGATCCCCTCACCACAGCGGGAGCGGGTCAGCACGCCTTCACCCACACGCCGTCGACGGCCAACACCCGCCCATCCACTACGGCAGAAACCACTCCAGTGCTGACCTCGACGATGTCATCAGTGAGGCGTGGCGAGGCGGCAGTAGGGAGCAGCAGCAGAAGGAGGGCGGGGCGGGTGAGCGAGAGGTGGGAGGAGCGGGCCATGACGTTCGGCGAGCATTATGTGGTCAAGAACACCTTCATCCACACCGGACCGGTAGGCGTGCAAAGATTTGTGGCATGGGATGAATGAGCGTGGCAGGCTGGCTGGCTGGCTGGATGGATGGAGGAGGGTGTATCAACTTGGATTGGAGAGGCTCATGTGTACTTATTATGTGTGTGTCATGACACATGTGTGTTGTTGTCTTCTGTCTGTTCTGTCTGTCTGTCTGTCTCGTGTGTGCAGTTTGCGGCGTCCTGTGGGCGTCGGTCCCGGTCCGCTGACACCTACTACGACCAACCACTCACACACTGTAGGCACCGTACCGCACCAGCCAAAGATCACCCACCACACCACGCCACACACGTCTCCCCGTCCGTCAGGCGTTCATCTCACCCCATCGTCCAACCGGCCGCCAGCCGTCCCCGCGAACGCGTCTTCAGTGCCGCGTGTGTTGCCCACACAGAGTCATACCAACACCCATTCGTATGCGCACCATCGGCCTGTGAGTCGGGTCGGCCGCAGCATGAGCTCGCTGGGTGTGGGTGGTGGTGGTAGTGGTGGTAGTGTGTGTGTGGGCGTCATTGGGGAGGGTGAGGGATACGGGGCGCATTCAACTCGATGCCCATCGGAGAGCGGGGAGGACGCCAGACACGCCGCGTGAGTGGGGGGGCGGGTGTGGGTGTGGTGCGGTGTGTCGACACGTGTGGAGTGGGTGGATAGAAGATCTGTTCTCTCTTTTCTTTTGTGTGTGTGTGGGTGTGGGTGTGCGGCCACATGGCATCTCATCACTCAGGATACTGTTTGATGTGTCCCGACAGCCACTGGAGGCCAACATTCCCAACACGTCAGACAACACATTCACACGCAAATGCGACACACGTATACAGCACACAGCCCTGGTCCTTGCTGATGGATGGATGGATGGATGTGTGTGTGTCAGGATCAGCCTGCGGACGTTGCCACTGAACATCCCCCTCCCGCCCAACCACCCGCCACCTCCCCCGTACCCGCCGTCCAACGTCCAGTACCTCACACAGCTGTCACAGCCACAGACACAGACGCAGGCACAGGCGCACCCGTCGCCCATCTCCCCGCCGCCCACTTCGGCACCGCCAGATATGTCGTCACTCCAGATCTACCACGCACAGCAGCAACAAGGTCCGGCCCGCAGACGTGACACACGTGGGGGCGTGGGGTGACTGATCTCTCTCTCTCTCTCTGTGTGTGTGTGTGTGGGTGTGTGTTTAGCGTCGTCGTCATCGAATATGACCCCGGTGATTCTGCAGCGTGCCCTGGGGCCGAATGAGGTGCCGACGGTCACCATGCCGATGGCACAGGCGATGCAGCTCATCAGCACGGCCCCGCTCCCATCCCTCCCGCCACACCTGCCCCTGCCCCTCCCTCTGCACATCGAGACGCCCCCGCCGGACTGCCTCCCGCCGTCGTACGACCTCTCGCCAATCTCACCCTCACCAGACCCCTCGCCGTCGCAGTCGCCCCCAGCTGCCAGTAGCGTGTCGTGTTCCATATCCCTCTCTGCATCTCCAACGGCGTCAGCCTCGCCCCAGGCAGCGGACATGGACACCCACATCCACACCCACGCCCACACGCGCATCCATGAGCACATGTTCCTCGAGCGGAGCTTCAGCGAGGTGCTCATGGGCAACTGCGGCGGCGGCACCGCCACCAGCACCGAGGCCACCCCCATGGCCTCCCCCACCGCACAGAGCACCCACTCCTACTCGCCCACCAGTTTTGCCCAGTTTAGCAGCAAGAAGGGCCACCACCACGGCGACAAGGAGAGGGACAGAGAGCACCGAGGAGGGGAGAAGGAGGGCAAGGAGGGCAGGGGGGTGCGCCGGGCCCGAGGTGATCGCGAGTATAGAGAGCGCGACCGTGACCGAGGTGATCGCGATAGAGACAGGGAGAGGGAGAGGGGCGCTGGGCGGGGGTTGCGGGCGTATGGCGGCGGCGGCGGCGGGGGGAGGGAGGGCCGGCGTGCCGGCCATAGAGATAGAGATAGAGACAGAGACGGCAGGGAGCACCGAAACATCAAGTGACATGGACACACAGCACAGAGACCCACAGATGGATGAATGGATGGATGGATGGATGTGTGTGTGTGTATGTTCAGCGGGTCGGAGGAGATCCGTGATCGTGACCGCGACCGTGACCGAGGTGACCGCGACCGTGACCGTGTCGGCCACTACCACCCGCAGCCCACCGGCCCCTACCTGGGCGGCATGACGCACTACCCCGACGACATCATCGCCAACACATTCGACAGTAGCTACAACCAAGACGACACGCCCACCTCAGAGCAGCCGCAGCACTACAGCCACGGCAGCAACCACAGACAGGGCACGCCACCGCCAAAGGTAGCTTAGCTACACCCACATACCCCTCTCCCTCTCCCTCTCGCTCCCTCCCACTTACATCCGCTGTGTGTGTCATCGTGTGTCATGTGTCATCCATCGATCAGGACGATTGCAAGACCCCCCAGGAGCACTCCCCCTTCACCGACCAGTTCAACAACCACAGCAGTGTGCGCATCCTCAAACACCACACCAGCACGAGAAGCAGCAGCGGCAAACCAGACAAGCACTCCACCTACCCCAGCAGCAGCACCAGCAGCGAGAGGCCCGAGAGGGGCGAGAGGGGTGAGCACCGAGACCGTGACCGTGACCGCGACGGCGGCCGGCGCAAGACTTACTCCTTTAGGGGGATTGGGGGCGGGCGATGAGGGAGGATGAGTAGACGCAGCCACCCCACCCACACAGACAGGCAGGCTGCGGGCGGGGCGTACGTGTAGACAGATAAGGCGGGGGGTCCCGTCGATCCGTTTTGGACACATCCATCCATCCATCCCTGCATTCGATGGCACGCATCACATCACGGGAGTCCCTTTCCCACTCACTCATCCACGCAGCTTACACACATCTCTCTCTGTATGATAACACAGAGTAAGAAAGAACATACCGACTCAGAGAGAGAGAGAGAGAGAGAGAGAGGTGGAGTGAGAGAGGGGGAGGGGGGGGAGTGGCGAGAGGGCGAGAGGGCACACACTTGGGTGGCCTGTCCACTTCCCTGCGTGTGTGGGTGGTTTTCCTTGTAACTTCGTGGTTGCTGGTTCCTTGCTGGGGTGGGTTGCTGGGGTGTGCATAGGGGTGGGTGGGGAGGGAGGGGGTCAGGGAGAGGGGGAGTAAGCTAAGTGCACTACCACACACGCCGTGCCATTCCATTTCATTCCATTCCATCCATTCACCCAGTCATCCGTCATCGCTTAGCAGCCGGCCACACACACACGCGGCGGTTTTGATGTCGTCAGCAGCCCGGGGGGACACATGCCTGCCACCGACCCCATCCCCTGTTTCCCTCGCCTCTCCATCCAGCATCCACACCCACACCCACACTCTTTTTCGCACACGTGTGCTCACTCGGATACACACACACACAAGGCTGGCTTTGCCGGGGGATCACCCACTACACTGCCTGTATCCATCCATCCCCATCCATCCACTCACAGCATCCATCCATCCATCCGCGCCTCACCTCTGTGCAGCCTTCGTGGGCGTGTGTGTGTGTGTGTGTGAGTCGCTTACTCGTCCATGCGGGGGTGGATGCATCCATGCCTTCATGCCAACCACACCATACATCCATGCCATCTGTGCACTTTAAGGGGGTGGGGGGAGGGTGGGAGGGCGGGAGGGGCTGCCGGTCGGTGGGTCGGTCGCATGGTTGCTGCGTTGCTCATGTACAATTGCTCGTCGTCGTGGGACCGATTTTGATGATGTCTACCCAGTCGACATGGAGAGAGAAGGAGGGAGAGAGAAGGAGAGAGAGAGAGAGAGAGAGGTGTTGTAAGTCTGCTACACGGGGGGTGGCGGTCTATGGTGTGTATATGTCCATACTTCTGTATACTTGTGTGTACACTTCAGCGAGACGGTGGCCATGATGGGTGAATGGATGGACGGATGGCTGGATATACTCACTCCCAGCAACCGAAAGTGTGTCGATAACTCCTTGCTGCTCCGGCAATCCATCCATGTGTGTGAAGTGCCTTTCCATGTCTGTCTGTCTGTCTGTCTGTGGGTGTGGTGTGCGGCGTGCCGTGCATGCATGCGTGCGCTCGGGGGCAAGCTGCCATGGTGCATGGTGCATGCCCCACTTCGTTCGTCCGTCCCTCCGTCCTCTTATTGCGTGTCTGTATGTGTTGTAGATAAGAATCCTCTTTCCCTTGTTGCCCGCCTGCCTGTTTTCCCGTCGGGCGAGAGCCCCATCACCCCTCCACTCAGCCACTCGCTCTCCCACACACACATACACAGACAGACAGACAGACAGGTCGCCCGATGCTTCTACAGTAAGTGCACGATGCTTGTGCAGTGGCTTGGCTTGGCTTGGTGGTGGTTGTATCGTGATGGTGATGGTGATGGTGGCGTGCGCACATCGCAACACTTGGCGGATGGCCTGCTTCTCGATCGCTGGTGTGGATGCTTGTCCACGCGTGGGTGGCTGGCTGGCTGGATGGATGGATGGGCGGGCGGCCCGGTACTGGATGGCTGCAAGTGTTGTGTGTCTGTCGATTGGATGCGAGCACTGCTGGCGGGAATGGGGTTGCTAGGATGAGGATGGTGACGGGATGGCGTCCTCCCTCTCATTCCTGGGTGATGTCATGCCGTCACCGTCGCCGTCTGAGCAATGCCCATTCTGACTGACAGCCGTCTGGCAGCCTGTCTGCCGGTCTGTGTGTCTGCAATCATGATGGTGAGTGGTGTACTATATGCCTGTGTCCTCATTCGTCCGCCCATGCATCCATGCGGCTGCCTGCCTGGCTGGCTGGCTGGCTGGCTGTGTGTCTGTGTGTCTGTCTGCCTGTCTGTCTGTGTGCTTACCTTCCTGTGTGTATACAGCACGTCCATCGATCCATCCCGATTGATTGAGACCGACAGAAGAACACGTGATTGACGGACAGGAGAAGTCGCTATGATTCAACAACACTCAGCGGATAAGGCTAGAGAAAGTTTCGGTGAAACCCTGCCCAAAGGTAAACAGTGCCGGGTTGGCATCAGTGCCGGGTTGGCATCGTTTCTCTCGAGCGTCGTCGGTGTGTGCGTCCATCGCCCATTCTCACCATGAGCTCAGCGTCGGCCGCGCAGCAGCAGCAGGAGGTGCCCCGCCAAGGCATAGTGTCGGCCAAAGACTATGAGGCTCGTCTGAAGGTACGTGCCGACAATTGCACCATGGAAATGGCACAGATCGGTCCATCCATCCATCCATCCATCCATGCCGTGCTGGATCTTGTGCTGTGGGCAGGAGGTGCTGCAGGAGGTCAAGAAGGCCAGCCGCCCGAACGAGCCGGAGTTCATTGATCTCTTTGGCATCTACGAGCCCGAATCCATGGAGGAGAAAATCGCTGACGAGCCCGAGAAGCACGAGCAGAAGATGAAGGTATGAGCTCGGCAGATCTGCACTTCCTCTGGATGGATGGATGGATGGGTGGACGGATGGACGGATGGATGGATGGATTGGACGGGTTGTGCTTGTAGGAGGTGGTCTCATCCCTATCTGAGCACTACCGCCGGCAGGGTGAGTGACGTCGGCATCTGACGCTCACTTCTCTGCATACGCGGGGATGGGTCAGGCTGGCGTGACTTCGAGAAGTGCAAGACGGGCCCCGTCGAATTCATTGCCTGCGAGGGCTTCCTGCTCACACTCGCCATCAAAGCTAAGGACCCGGTCGGTTGATAGCGACAGACACCACAACACAAAGGCCGCACAACACCTCTGGTGCGTATTCATGGGTTTAGACAAAGGGCATCACCTGGGGTGAGTTTCTAGAAGAAATGAGCGCCTACGAGGGGGGCGCCATTTGCTGGCGGGTAGGCGAGATAGACGAGGATGAGTGCGAGTAAGCGACGGACGGGCGCAAAGACACAACGAGGGGAGCGTCGTTATGTCCTCTGGTGATGACACACAGGTTCCTGCGAGGGGGCAAGCGCGACTCATGCGGCCGATACAGACTCCAATACGACATCTGAACACCGAACACAAGACAGAATGTGTGCACAGACAGAGAGCGGCTACCGTAGAAGCGCAGCAGAATCGCGTTTGGTTTGTTGACGGACCCATTAGTTTATTCATTTCATGCATGTCTGCGCAGGCGTGTGTGTGTGTGCATTGTGCGATGCTGCTTAGGACGGCCTGACAATTCGTGCGTTCGGAGTGAAAGAATGGATTGAATCGATCACGCACAATGGCAGACTGACAAATGAATCCACTTGCAATGTATCACGACAGCAGCATCTGTCCGTCCAACAAAAAGCGACCCATGCTACACACACTACCTACAGAGCTACAGAGGCTGGCTACTCTACACACCTGACGATAAACGTCTTAACGGCCTATCTCTCGGCGCAGCTGCAGCGTCTTCGCTCGTCGATCTCCTCCCGCACGCGCATGCCCATCTCGGCGCCCATACACCGCACAAACAGCTCACGCGTGCCGTCGTACGGCGCACCCTCGTCGCAGAAGACGCCCACCGACACCGACACGCTGTTGGCCGCCTCCTCGCGCAGCACGTGGAAATACGCGAGGAAGGGGGACGTCGTCTTGTCGGTGAGCAGGAACAGCCGGTAGCTGAGGTTGGGCGACCTGAGCCTCACGCGACAGACGGTGGGGCTGCTGGCGCCGTCTGCATACACATACGCCAGCAGCCCTTCTGTCGTGGCTGTCTGCCTCTCTCCCCTCCTGTCTGCATGCCTGCCTGCCGATGCAATCACTACTTGCTGCGCAGCAGGGGATCCGTCACTCAGGCTGGTTGCTGCACGCCTGATGGCAATCTTTGCGGAGTGGGTGGCAGCAGGCGGCTCCCCAGTGCTTCAAGCCTCCTGATGCACACACACACACACGAGTGGTGTTCATTCAGCAGGTCTCAAGTCCGTCGCTCACCTGAGGCGGGCCGCCCCACCCCACTCGCGCAGCAGGTTTTCTCTAAACTCCCGCGCTATCCGCAAGGACATCATGCCACACCTCTCGATGAACGCCCTCCGATACTCGTCCTTGATCGTCTGCGCACACGGACGCACGCACACAGGGCCACGTGTGTCTTGTCTTTGTGTAGGCGCATGAGCTCATGCGTGTGCGTACGCACCCCGTCTTCGTTGAGTACGGTGTCGAGAAGATATGTGCTTCATCCAGATCCGGGGTCAAGGGTGCACGGCAGCTCCTCGTCAATCGACCAAATGGCCTTCTCCACCCTTGCCATTGCAGCCCAGTCCTCCTTGCTCGTGGGATATCTTCCCTCAGGTGCTCTCTTGCTCCACTCGCAGCCCATAGCGGCTCTGGCACTCAGCCATTCGTTGCCGACACTTGAAGGTCCGTCATCGTCAGATGAGTCGATATCTCCAGCCGGTCAAAGCGGCTGTAGTCGATGGGTAGGCCTCCCTGAGGGATGGTGCGAAGCTTAGAGCCAGATCTGCCTCTGCGAGCTTGAAATCTCTGCGATCCTGGCATCGGCCAGGACAACAAGACGTCGTGTTCTCGACCTGCGTGTCCATCGTCAACATCGTCGGTGTGTGCGTCCATCGCTCGTCCTCACAATGAGCTCAGCGTCGGCCGCGCAGCAGCAACAGCAGCAGCAGCAGCAGCAGCAGGAGGTGCCACGCCAGAAGGGCGTAGTGTCGGCCAAGGACTATGAGGCTCGTCTGGAGGTACGTGCCCACACCTACACCATGGAAATGGCACAGATCCATTCATTCATTCATCCATCCATCTGTTGTGCTGCATGGGTCTGCATGGGCCTGCAGGAGGTGCTCAAGGAGGTCAAGAAGGCCAGCCGCCCGAACGAGCCGGAGTTCATTGATCTCTGGGGCATCTACGACCCCCATATGATGGAGGACATCATCGCTGACGACCCTGAGCAGCACGAAAAGAACAAGAAGGTATATACCCAGATCTGCACTTCCTCTCTGTCCAGGAAAGGATGGATGGTTTATGGGTGCAGGAGGTGGTCTATCCGTATCCGAGCATCGTCATCACCAAAGTACCCGAGTTCTACCGCCAGCAGCCCAACCAAGGTGCGCGTCCGCACCGGAATGCACGTGTGGCCCGCCCCTTCTGTGTGTGCGTACCAGGCTGGCGTGACTTCGAGAAGTGTAAGCTGGGCCACATCGGCAATGAAGACGAAAAGAACGTCCTACTCACACTCGCCATCAAAGCTAAAGAGCCGGTCGGTTGATAGCGACGGACACCACAACACAAAGGCCGCACAACACCTCTGATGCTCTCAGGCGAAGGGCGTCACCTGGGCTGAGTTTCTAGAGGAAATGAGCGCCTACGAGGGGGGCGCCATGTGCAGCTGGAACGGCAGGGAGTGCGAGTAAGCGACGGACGTTTGTATGTGATGTTTGTATGTGTCTCATGATGACACGTAGGTTGCTGGCAGGGGGCCATCGCGACTCGTCCGGCCGATACAGACTCAGCTACAGGCGCTGACCACTCAAGAGGCCAGCAGCAGCTGGTGTGTGTACAGGCGAAGACAAGGCTACACACAGATCAAGACAAGGCCACCGTAGTCGCTAGCGCAGCAGAAGCGCGTTCGGTTTGTTGATGGAACGATGCACGCATTCATTGCACGCACGTGTGCGCCGAGGTGCCTGGGGACCGGTAGAGGACGCTTGCACGTATGTGTCTGTGTCTGCTTGCATCGTGCGATGCTGCATAGGACGGCCTGACAATTCGTGCCTTCGGAGTGAAAGAATGGATTGAATCGATCACGCACAATGGCAGACTGACAAATGAATCCACTCGCAATGTATCACGACAGCAGCATCGCATCTTTCCGTCCAACAAACGACTCAACATACACTACCTACAGAGCTACAGAAGCCGGCTACTTTACACACCTGACGATAAACGTCTTCACGGCCTATCTCTCGGCGCAGCTGCAGCGTCTTCACTCGTCGATCTCCTCCCACACGCGCATGCCCATCTCGGCGCCCACACACCGCACAAACAGCTCATGCGTGCCGTCGTGAGGCGCACCCTCGTCGCAGAAGACTCCCAGCGACACCGACACGCTGTCGGCCGCCTCCTCACGCAGCACGTGGAAATACGCGAGGAAGGGGGACGTCGTCTTGTCGGTGAGCAGGAACAGCCGGTAGCTGAGGTTGGGCGACCTGAGCCTCACGCGACAGACGGTGGGGCTGCTGGCGCCGTCTGCGAGCAGAGAGAGGCACCGCTGCCTGAGGGACGACCCCGCGCGCGTCGACCGGCACGTCTTGACGGCGTGGTGCATGCTGTCCTTGACGGAGAGGAGCATCTCGGTGACCAGGGAGGTGAGGGACGGCAGGTCAGCGTGTTCGGGCACACTGACAGGGGGATTGTCGGCGTCATAGTCGTCGGGGAACAGCGGAGAGGCTGCGTCGAGGAGGGAGTATTGCTGGTAGCGGCCGCCCTTGGTGTAGTTGAAGATGCTGGTGGATGCCGATCCATCAACCCACTGCGCGAATGTCCGCTTGTCGACCTCCAGCCGGGCAGCCAGAACACGCCACTGCCGCATCGCCTCCGGCTGCCCCACAAAGGCCTCCTTGTTGCTGCTGACGACAGCAAAGCTCCCTTCGCCCAACACGAGCGGCTTCCTCCTGTGCAGGTAGAGGATGGTCAGTGGCGCCTTCCATCGTGTCCAGTCACCACAACCCTCAAAGAAGAATATGCGGCGGACGAGCTGAATGATGACAGGCTGTGACGAGCTGAGCAGGGGCAGCTGAGGGATGGTGACGATCAGAATGGCGCCGAGGAGGGCGTCGAGGGCGGCGAGGAAGCGGGCGAGCTGCTGCTGGAAGAAGGCCACACCGAAGAGGGCGTGGAAGGCCTTGCTGGAGCGGCGGAAGCACAGCAAAGAGGCCACGCCGACGAAGGGTGCAATGTCGCTCTGCACCACTGCCGGCGGCAGGCCGGCGAAGACGTCCGAGGAGCTGCCGCCATGATGATCCGCAGACGACTCACTTGCAGCCTCTACCGACTCCTCTTCTGCACACACACACACACACACGCACACACAGAAGTAGAGCATCAGCAACGCATCCGGCTATCACATGCGTGTGCCATGTGCGAGATCCTGACTGCATTTGGGCGGGGATCACAGTTTCCCGCCCGCGTGTGGCCGCTCGTGCACACGTCACGATGCATGCGTGCACCACCCATCCCGCCCTTGCGTACCTTCAGCATCCGTCTGCACAATTGTCTGCACGACATCGCATCTGACGCAGTTGCCCATCCTGGTCAGACAAAGACGATGGCTGATCTCCTTCAGAAGGGGAGAAGGCACGGCAGGGAGGGAGTCTGGAGCGAGCTTGGCGACTTTGGGGCGTCTCAAAAGGGTGTGCCCCCATGGCAATGGAAGGAGGTCAGGCATTTCCCCATCCGCTGGCAGTGGCGCCGCCCTTCACCTACCAGGCACACCCCGACGCATTCGCCGACAAAGGTACCTACGGCGAGATAGACTGACGTCCCAACGCGGATCTTTTTGTGGTCTGTCCGCTTCGCCTCGCCAGGGTGTTCGCGCATCGAGTCGCTGAGATGGTTCTACAAGACGATCACCAAGGTGAGGTGGCCATATAGCTCATGTCCACGCGATGGATGGAGATAGTCCGGCGTGTCTTGTGTCTGCGTGTGGCCATGGCAGGGGCGGCCGGGCCAGCGTCCAGCTGTGTGGATACCCGACACAGTCTTCTACGACGGAAGGAAACAACCGACGCTGTGGGTCTTCACAAACAAAGTACGCCAGACACACGCTCATGAGATTCCATTCTACCAGGGCTGATCTGGTGTGGTGTCCTTGTGTACACAGCGCGGCCTCCCCTCGCGCCACCGGTCCCGTCGGCTGACGCACCGGAACATATTGAGGCATTTCTGCTCATTCCGGTTCCTCTCGACGATTATCCCCATTCACAAGGACGCATGGGTGGCCCTCGCCCACTACAAGCACCGGGGGCAGCTGGCCTGCCGCCTCCTCACCCTGGCGGAGCTGACATTCATGCTGCCCAATGGCGTGCCCACGGAAGCCTTCAACATCCTGAGTCTGCAGCAGCTGCCCCCGGCTGCTTCATTGGCGCTGCAGCAGATCGGCAGGGAGCGGAGCTCGATTGCAGCGGCGCTTGACTACACCGTGTTTGGCTCGCCCGCTGTTGAGGGCGGCGTGCAGGAGACAAAGGACCCCTTGTATGTGGAGATTGGTGGCCGGGTCGTGCTGATCAAGCCACATGCGACATTTATGCGTCTCCCGTCCGTCTATCGTGTCATTGTCGGTGGACACCCCTCTCCCCCCAACACGACAGAAGTGGAGTCCGTCATCGTGGCCAAGGTGCTCAGATGGACAAGAAGAGTACCATCCGAGCCTACGGTCTCGCCTCCGGTTGCTGCGCAAGAAGACTATCAGGGGGAATACGTGACGACCACTCAGCCGACGGACACCAAGCCCGACATCGACCCTTATGGCGGGCTGTATCTGCCGCCATTTGGACTCAGTTCCCTTGCAAGGCGGGAGAATGCAGCCACAGCACTGCTCAGAAAGAGGACGGCAGATGGGCTGTGCTCGCGGCCCATCTCTGCTACTGGAGGGGGAGGGGGAGGGGGAAGGGATGCTTCTGGGTCGGCATTCGCCTGTCTGATGGACGATGCACAAGCAAAGAGCCCGTCGGCGGCGAAGGGAGGGAAGGGGAAGGGGAAGGACGAGGAGCCGTGCAGCTGGTTTGTGTCCTGCCGTGAGCCGCTCGTGAAGGGCCACCTGGAGACCATCACTAAGGTGAGAACGATCGTCGACACAGACAGAGACACAGGGATGAGTGAGTCACGTATCTATGCTTTGACCGAATGGATGCAGCGGTTGGTGTGTCACTTGTCTCGTATCGGCGGTGTGCGAGTCGACGGAATGCACCTCGACTTCATCAAGACCGGTCGGTCAGCCAGACAGCGATCTGTTTCCCCTCTTCTGATCAGGAGCCCTCTCTCTCTCTGATCGTTTTGTGTGTGCAGATGATTCTGAGGTCTTTCTTCTCGTGAACGTGTCAGGTGATAAGGACAGAGCAAGTGTCTCATCCTCCCTCCATCCCTCCCTCCCCCCTGTGTGCAGGGTTCGACATCACGAGCAAAGGCGGGCAGCTTGGCTCGGACAGAGACAGCGAATCGTACGCAAGTTCGGTGTCGGATGACGACGGCGAGAAGGCAACGGGTAGGAGAGGCCGCAGGGCGCAAGGTGGGCGTCGACGAGACAGAAAGGGCGAGGCCGCTGAGGGCAAGACATGGCTGGTGGCTGACGGACGGGTATGTAGGCGCACAGGAGGCATACATATGAGGATTGGCATACGTGTGTTGTGGGGGGGTGGGTGGCTGCAGGTGTGCCTGTGTGAGGGCGACTTTTGCTCCATGGAGGCGACACTGACCCTCGGGAGAGCCCTACTCAGAGACAACGACACCATCGTGGAGAGATGGCAGAAAGTAAGACCATCACCACCCACACACAGACAGCCCTGGTATGTCCCTCGCTCCCCATCTGCTGTATTCAGATCGCCGTATCGGGCGATCGCGCGGAGGTGCGCATCGAGCCAGGAGGCGACCCACACGCGCCACACCGGATCTCCCCAGGCACAGTGATCATCAGTCGAATGGAGAGGGGCGTGCCGCTCGAGATCGGGCGGACCAAGCGCATGCTCACGCAGCAGTACGTCAACGTCTGCAACCGGTGCTTCATGGCCTACGCCAAGATCGACAGGGACCGACGGAGAGGGGAAGGGGGAAGCCCTGAGGCAGGTGTCCATCTGCCCCACAGAGGCAGGATGATGACTACCAGTGACATCCGGCACCTGCTCGACGAGCAGCTGTTCCAGCAGCGGAGGAGCCGCACATCTGTCGACAGCCATCTAGCCGCTGCTGCTGCCGCTGCAGCAACGGCGGCCGGTGAGCAAGACGACCACCCATCGAGTGCGAGGTCAGACACATAGACCGCGACACACAACTGCACACACGCGATACACATGCCCCGTCTCACGTGTGTACACAGTTCAGATCGAGATCGTCCACTGGCCTTCGTCCAGCCCCAAGCGCCCCCTGCCCGCCGCCGGCAGACCACGTTCGAGCAAGCCCCCATCGGCACACTCCGAGCAGCCGTGTGGGTCGATCGCACACCGCCACAAGACACCCACACCCACACAGACAGAGACAGAGACAGCACGGACACCAACGACGCGGTGGACGAAGACGATGGCAGCAGCAGCAGCCAGTTGGAGAGGATGTATGAGCAGCTGCTGGCGTGGGAGAGAGAGTGCGAGCGGGAGACCGATGCCAAGTATGAGAGGGACACGCAGCACGAGTCGTCGTCGATAGACGAGACCGCTGCGGAGGCGGCTGCCCGTCGTGTTCTGTCCAGAGACAGCACCGAGACAACAGTAAGGAAGGACGTACATACGGTTGGTCTATCACACCACACCACGCCGACATAAATCTGTCGGTGTCGGTGTCTGTGTCTGCAGCTGACTCCTCCCGTCCACCGCGCAAGCGCCCCAGCTGTTGTTGAGCCGCCCTGTGTTTCGTCACGGCGGTTTCTGCCCTCGCTTGACGCCAAGGCCCGGCAGGTGGCCAGGAGGGCAAAAGATACCGTGGAGAGGCTACAGCGGACTGTTGCACACGACAAGTACAAACAAGGGTGTGTGTGTAGCAGTATGTGTGTCTGTGTCTGTGTGTGTGTTTGTGTGTGTGTGTGTGTGCAGCCCATCCTCCTTCCCTCCCTCCTCCCCTCTATGGCGTCGTGTGGACGGTGTCCTTCTCGACACCCTCCTCTCCCAAGCCGTCGACGCCTATCCCTCACCTGTCCCCATCATGGTGCCCTCACTCAGCATCAACACCACCACACACATTGGTGCACCATCGGATATGGTGCACCCGCCAATGCTCCGCTCGCCGTCGGTGGGCTCCCTGGACGGCCGGTGGTCCTACCACCGATACGGCCGGCGGATTGCGCGGTGCCACCCGATGCGGCTGCTGTGTGAAGTTTGGCAGATGAAATACAACCTGGTGAGCCGCTGTTGATGTAGGAATCGTCGCATAGGTCGCTCTGTGAATGCATGGCTGAATTTAGGTGCGGGCGGTAGAAGATGAGATCAGGAGAAGCCCCCTGTATGAGCAGCAGCGGGCGGCATGCCCCGCCACTGCCACGGCCGCAGCCGCAGCCGCAGCCGTGTTTGTGCCGAGCGTGTCGATGATCAACGAGACCTCCCCTGTATACCGGACACTGTGCACAATCGCCCAGGCAATCATTGAGAGGTGAGAGAGACGTATAGAGAGAGGAGACACATGAGGTCTCGTCATTTTTCTACCAGGACGAACGAGACGCCCGAGGCAGATGGCATCGAGGGCCCCCTGACCCGGCTGCTGGAGTGCGTCAACCAGGAAGCTTTCCAACCATCCGCCCCTCCCTCTCTGTCACGCCCTCTGACGGCGCACAGAGACAGCACATTGGAAGGGTCTCAAACACACGGACACAGCAAAGAGGAGGGCGTTGACATCCGGCTGCGGAGAAAACTCTTCTCCACCGACCCCAAGAGCACAAAGCCCCGACAACGCCCCATAAGCGCCCCCCCTCCCCCAGGAGCATCCCACAAGCACCCCACACGCACCGGCCCCATCTCGAGTGCCTTCGATAGGCTATTTCCCCCTCTCTACAGCGAGAGGGTAGTTGCCATGGTTGACAGCATACTGCGGGGGATGCCGGCGTCACGTGAGCTTGCGGGTCAGCTGCGGGCTGTGAGGGAGAGGGAGGGTGTGCTCAGCCGCATCAAGGGCGATGTGTGGACGGTGCCGGGGCGGCAGAGTGGGGGCGGACTGACACTGGAAGCCAGGAGGTGCGTTCGCTGTGAGTCAGAAGGATTAATCGCTGTGTCTCCCCTGTCATGTCTATGCTCTCGTTGCTGTGTCGTGTTGTGGTTCCGCAGGTTCATTGGCCGCCACCATGCAGTGGTGGTCGGCTGAGTCCCCCACGAAAGAGTCGACGAAAAAGTCCCTGAATTGCTCGCTCGGCTACCGCCTCCCCAGGCTGTCTGTCTGTCTGATCTCGTTCTCTTTTTGTTCCGTCTCAGCCGCAGACAAAGCCTATCCGCCTACTCACCTAGATGCCTATCCACGCAATGCAATGCAATCCATGCCCACATGCACGCAACAAAAGAAAGAGTCGTGATGGTGGTGGTGGTGTGTGTGCAGGGCAGCACAGCCAGCGATTAAAAGTGCGAATGTGAGTGGACGGGTGGGTGGATGTGGGTGTGAGGTGGGCGTGGGATGGACAATGGAATGGATGGTGGATCGGGGAGGGCATGTGACACCCCAAGACAGTAGTGAGTTTGTCAGTGAGTGCATAGAACACGCGACACGACAGGCGACATACAACAGCAACACGACTCCATTCCCTCAATTTACAGCAAAACTACGTTTCCCGACCACACGCACGGCATCCATCCATCCATCCATCCCTTCATCCATCTGTCCACCCCACTAGGTAGGTAGTCAGTCCATCATGCCATGCGACAGACGCGACGAGAGCAGAGAGCTGAAGTGCAGACCGAGATACGATACGACACACGAAAGACACACCAGACCAGACGTGACCCGACCATATCAGGGAGTGAGTGCCATTGGACAGATAATATACACCCCGACATCGACCCACATCGACCCACACCGGCCACTAGGACACGCTATCCCCCTCCCCAGTTCCCCCTCTCCCGTCGACCCGTTCATTGTCCAAACCCATACAAACACACACTGGGGAAGGGGAGGAGGGAGCAGGCAACGGACGTCATTAGGTCCGGTGCGTATGTATGTATGTGTGTAGGTATGGTATGAAGGTGACGCATAGATGCATTGCATTTTGCGTATGGCGCGGTATCGACAGTGAGTGAATGAACCCCTTCACCCCCACCACCCACCACCCATCACCCACCCATCCACTCATTCTTCCCCATCTACGTAAGAGTGCTCTGCGCGCCCACACACATGCAGCCAGGCAGGCGAGGCACAGACAGTATGCAGTTGTATGTCAGGAGGCCATTCTTGCCTCCCTCCCTCGCTCTCTCTAGCTAGAGCTGACTGCCAGACACTCGACGCTCCACTCATGGAACAGCATGGACGCAGGCACACCACAGAGAGAGGAAGACGGGGAGCACTCATGCAAGTGTGTGTGGACGGCTGACACACAACAGGGTATCCATGCTTCATAAACACACACAGGCATCGACAAAACCTCCTCCTCCCACCCAGTCAGTCGGTGAAACAGTCAGTCCTCAGCTAATGCACCGGCGATCGAATCGACCCGACCCCCTTGAACAAATCCATCCATCCACCATCCCAGAAAGAGCACCATCACGCTCACAAGGATACATATCATCAATGTCATGCAGACAGTGTCTTCCTTCGTCCGTCAAAATTTTGTTGTGTCCATCCATCCATCCAGTCAGTCCAGCGCATGTTGAGGAGGCCTTGGTCACCTTACCGATGGCGCGGTGTGGGGACTCTGAGAGAAGGTCTCAGAGACACCATTCATCGCCAACGAGCTTGTCATCAAGGCCTCCAACGACACGCACGGGTCCATCCACACTTCCTTGAGCGTACACTGTGAGTGAAGGCACTTTTCTGCATGTGTCAAGACAGTGCATGACTCCTCCCCCGCCCCTTGGCAGACCATGCGGCGTCCATCTCTAATCTCACACCTCAGATTCGCTGAGGAGGGGAACTGGATATGGGCGGCGCTTCCAAGAGTAGTCACGAAGGCAAGCAGCTCGTCTTTCACTGGTCGGGAAGGCGGCCAGCGGTCAAAAAGGCCTAGCTGGACCACCATTCCCCACTGACACTCACTGACGCACACACACACACACACACACATCACTCGCACACCTGTTCTCTCAGCCAGACAGCCAGCCAGACAGCCAGCAAGAAGACACAAAACAGCGACTCGATTCCCGTTGGCCACCCAACTTGTGCTCTCTCTCCCCTTCACTGTTGTCCTCTCCTTCGGCCTCTCTTGTGCCGGCCCCAATAAGGCACAGAGACCAGGTATGTATGTCTGTCTTCGCCCCCAGGAATGTCAAAACGGCAAGTAGCGCTAGATAACACATACATACACACATCACGACACACACGCAGGCACCCAGCACACCGGACACAGGCATACAGACACAACACGAGACGAGACGAGCCGACACGGCACACATCATGACACCGACAAGCAGACAGACAGCCCTACACACCACACATACATACATAGAGACGCATTCGCACGCACTCTCACCCACACTTTCACGCAAATACGCAGATGTGTACCCCAACCGCCATTCCTTCCTTCGTTTAGTCGACGAGGACGCTCATGGTCAGCTCGTGCCGCCCCCCATCCCCATCCCCACCGCCCCCCTCGTCCTCCCACCCCCTGGGCGAGTCGCTGTCCTCCTCACTCATACGCGGCGACACACTGCGGGACGGCAGCGGACTCGCTGAGAAGTAGTCGGGGTACACGTGATGAGATGTGCCTGCACCGGACCGCACCAACACACCATGAGGGAGGGGGGGTGGGTGGGTGTGGGTGTACCGAGGTCGATGGACGACACGCTCGATGTCACATTGGCGATGTCCATCTCGAGCTCCTCCTTGCCGTTGTCCGCCTCCCCGCTGCTGGTGCTGGCCGCCGTCTTGCCGCTCTCACTCTGGCCGCGACACAGACCGGCCGCCGGGGAGTCGCCCCCGCCCTCGCCCTCGCTGATCGTGGGTGCGGGGGAGGGCTGCCTGTTGGTGTTGGTGCAGATGGGGCTGTGCTGCAGGGCGATGGCGCGGTCACGGGATGATATCAGTGCCTGTGGTGAGATGGGAGAAGACACAGTGCTTGTCGTTGTGTTTGGGGGAGGGTGGAGGGTTGGTGTGTGTGCGTATGTACGTGGAGGAAGTTGAGCTTGGGTGTGGGGACTTGGAGGCACTGTGCAATCTGCACGACGGCCGTCACGATGGGGTCAACTTCGAGACGCTTGCCCGTGTCCAAATCCTGCCACGCAATGCAATGTAACCCATCCCATCCCATCCACACAGACTGGATGTGCGTGTTGATGCTGACCGGTGTCTGTGGCGAGGCATACCTGTCTCATGGACGGCTTGTGGTTCGGGTAGCAGTTGGCCAGCAGCTTCATCGTGTCGCCCACAGGGTCCCTGCCCAAATCAGTGCCTAAACCGCCCACACAAAGACACACACACCACAAACATGCAGCCGCCCCTCTCTCTCTCTCCGCGAACGGACCGTTTTTGTTGCACACACAGGCGACCTCGTGCATGATATCCTGGATGATGGTGCGCGTCTCGTTCTCGGCACAGAGGTCGGGAATGGTGCGCTGGGTGAGCGAGGTGATGGGGTTCATCGTCACGTTGGCCAGCACCTTCTTCCACACCGACACGCGGAGACGAGTCGTCAGCTCCACCGGCAGGCCCACCTTCATTGACACAGAAGAAACAGAAATGTCAATGCAATGCATGGGATGTGTGTCAAGGTGGGCCTGCTCATCAAAACTTACAGACTGCATCAGGCTTCCCACGCTCATCAGCCGCTCGGACACTGACCACCACACACAATACACATCACACACATGGATGCAGGAAGCCAGCCTCCCTCCCTCCCTCCCTCCGTCTCGTCGCTCACTGGTGTTGTCAGGCTCCCCCAGCACGATCTTGTAAGTCGTCCCGTGCACACGCACCCTCTCAGGGTCGGGGCAGCCAGCGGTGGTCTGCTGGTGGTCCATGTGGGTGTGGGTGTCTGTGTTGGTGTGTTGCGGCTCGTCGATGGCGACGGCCATCTGCAGGACGGCGCCGAGCACGTGCGGCAGCAGCACCGCGCTGATCCTGCCGTCGGGGTCACACGCAGGCACCTCATCGATGCGGCCGTCCAGGAAGTCACCGCCTGCAAACACACATACACACACACACACACACACACAGAGGGAGAGGCAGAGAATGAGTTGATGGTTGTTTGTCCGGTGACAATGCGCCCACAAAGTATATATGACCTTTGCACGGGCCGACAGCGAGTGGCATACGCAGACGGCCGTACATGCAGAGTCATACGTACGTACGCACGAGCACAGACACGTGGCAACGATCCGATCGACATTAACGCCCCTCCCCCTTTCCCCACCTCACAGAACGTGGCCGCACAGACGAGCCACGCACGTACACGCCCTCTCCCTCTCCCAGCCGTCGATGCACCCACCCACCTCTGTGCATGAGCCAGAATGGGATGCCGTTCTGAGCCGCCACGACGACCGTGTCGGGGCCGATGACCTCCTCCAGGTGGTGCAGACACTCGCGCACGTACTGGGCCTTGACGCATATCAGCAACAGATCCTGCGGACCGTCCGCACCTGAACGAACACACCAAACACGGAGGGAGAGAGAGGGTCGTGTCTGAGGGTGGGATGGGTGGTGAATGCGCGTACCGATGTTGGGGTCGTCGAGTGGCATGATGGTGAGGGGGTGTGTCTTGCTGTTGTCCTCGCACGCCCCGCCCAGCTGCCACACTCGACCGTCACACGCCACCTCGCCACCATACTCTGACAGCCACACATATACCACATGACACAACATGGAGGAGGTCCAATGCCCTCCCCTCCCCTTCCCCCTGCATACCCACCCCCCCCCTCACCCTTGAGTTGCTGCACCTTCTCCCGCCGCGAGAGGATGGTCATCTTCACATTGGGATGATCGTTCAGGTAGGCCGCAAACACCAGCCCGACACTCCCGCCCCCCACCACCCCCACACGGATGCAGTCCTTGGCGAGCGGCCCGCGGACACTCGAGCCCGGCACGAACGATGTGTGCATGGATGGCGAGGGGGAGGCTGTTGTGCTGGAGGGGAGGGAGGGGGACGAGTGGGCAGAGGGGAGGGGGATCTTGACAGCGATGGCGGGGTGCTGGGGGCGGTGGGCACTCGCCATCTCGCTTGCTCGTGTGGATGGATGAATGAATTAGCAACAGACAGACAGAGGTATGCAGATACTGTACACAGCAGCAGGAGGGTAGAGAAAATGCCACCCGCCCTCTCGACCTGGCCTTCTGTATGAGAAGACGATTCGAGATATGTATGTGGGATCACTCACTCACCGCAGCCGGAGAGTCAGACAGGCAGGCAGTCAGGCAGGCAGACAGACAGACACAGTCAGTCGCATGCACCAAGGTACGTATGTACGGGTGGTATGGAAGCAGACAAGACAGACAGCGTATAGACAGACAGCGTATAGACAGGCAGACAGCAAGTGCAGGTGGGTGTGAGGATGTGTGAGTGAGTGAGTCAGTATGTGTGTGTGTGTGTGTGTGGATGTTCAACAGTCGCAGATGATGATGTAGGTGCCGCGACGGATCAGCTCCCCCAGGACGACAGTCAGATACATTCCGACACTCAGATCTGAGGGACCACAACAGACGCACACAAAACGAATGAACCGGTCGCACACATGTCAGGGCTCAGATCTGCTCAAAGTTGCGTCCAGCATGGCGGCTCACCTCCGTGTGGTGTCTGTCCTCTTGACAACGACGCTACAGAAATACAACAATAGGATTATGATCATCATCAGCGCATGAGGTGCCTTCGTTCGTTCTGCGTCGTACCTGCGAGGCTGCCACGGCCCACGAGAGGCTCAAAGTCCTCGGATCTTTCTCTGCCAAGCCTCCCTGAGTGTCCCTGAGTGTGTGTGAGTCTTGCTATCCTCCACAGCCCGGCTCCACTCCCAGGCAAAAGGAGTCAATTGGAAGCGTTTCATACCTACCCTTAAGCCCCGCAGACCTGTGCTCCCCGAACCGCTGCTGCTTTGCCCTTGAGTCGGCCTCTCTCCCCCTGCGTACGCAGCAGACGTGTTTGAGTCGCAAGATCTGTCAAGATGGGTTCAACAGAGGAGATTCGCGGCGTGGTCATGATAGATCTCAACTCTTACACCAAGGGAGGCGACAAGGACGGCGCCAAGACCGAGGACTATCAAACACAGGTGGGTGCCCACACGCACAATGCGCACTGACTGTGCAACGCCGTGTGTGATTGTGATTGTGTTTGTGTGTGTGCCGTGTGTGTGGTCTGACAGATGGAGAAGTTCGGCTGGCGCGGTCCCCACATGGCGGCCGAGGCCTTCATGAAGTTCCGCGACACTTCCAAGGACATCGGCTCCACCTACTGGCTCAACGCCGGCTGTGGAGACGGTATCGAATCCGCCCACTTCAAACCACTCGGTCAGTCAACCACATAAACAAGACAGAGGGGCTGCATTCTGCCCCCCCCCCCACACACACACACCACGCGCACGTGTGCGTGTCTGCAGGTGTGAAGAAGGCGGTCGGCCTCGACTACACGGCGGACATGCTGGACATGGCGGCCAAGCTCGGCTTCTACGAGAAGACCATCCAGCACGACCTCAACAGCCCCCTCAGCTTCGTTGCTGACAGCACCTTCGACCTCGTCACGTGCCTGGGGGTGCTCACCTACATCAAGCCAGAGAGCGGCGTCCTCACAGAGTTCTGCCGAGTCACCAAACCTGGCGGGCTCATCATCATGACACACAGGGTGCGCTGCGTGAGTTCCTGCTCTCACAAACCAGGCAGATCCCCACGTGTCGCTTGTGCGTGTGTGTATGTGTGCGTGTCAGATTGACGTGTACGATGTTCACAACTGGAAGGCGCCCATCGCCGAGTGCGTGACGTCAGGTTTGGTGGAGGAGCTGTCGGGTCCCGTGGTGGTCAAGACTGCGCCGACGGGCTACCTGCCCCTGCACCCCCAGTACAAGGACATCCTCTCGCACTTCATCGTGTGGCGGAGGACCGACAAAGCCATCAAGACCAACGGAGAGGTCAACTGACGCACACAACACACCGGCGGGCGGGCGTGAGGACGGATTCGTGTGTGTGATGGCTTGCACAGTGATCGATCATGGTGGCTGAGGTGCACTGGCTGCGATGGGTTCCATGGACTGGCCCGTGTGTGCCCATGTGAGCACAGACAGTTTTGTACCGGTCAGTGTGGCTAGCGCATAGAGAGATATTGCATGTCCTTGTGTGGGTGTGTTTGTGTGTGCGTGTGGTGGCTGCCTGTATAATGACGATCATCTCGGTCGATGGTTTGGTGGACCGATAGACACATACATACATACATACATTCATACATAGACACGTGCAGACACACGTACACACATGCCGTATCCAGTTTTGCGTAGCCATGACGCCAACTGTCGAACACACGTGGGTAAAACCTTTCTCTCGTGCGGCGTCCTTCTTGAGCTTCGTTCTATACTCCAGTCTTGCCCATGACTGACTGCGTGGGATGGGGGGCTTCGTCACGATGTGCGTGGCTTTTTTGCCTGCTATCTGGCGGCCTCCTCACCCCGTTGTGCTGTGCTGTGGTGTGCTGTGGTGTGCTGTGGTGTGCTGTGGTGTGTATTGGTGGGCGGACGCTTCAAACCAAGCGTGTGTCGGATGCATAATGTGACATGTGGGTGATCTGTACAATGCCCATTTCATTTGCATGGAGTGCATTGGACGAACTTGAGACACCATGTATGAGTCAACGCATATTGATGTCAAACCAACTTCAATGGAGACATCAAACAGCTGATGTCAAATGTCTGACGAACAATCAATCACAGACGTCAAATATAAAATGTGGGCAACGATGTGGGGGTGTCGGCCGAAGAACCCTTCCCCCCTCGCCCTCCTCACTTTCGCCGTCGGCGGATGCAATCGGTCTGCACGCACACGCCGGAGAAAGGCACACAAATATCCATCACAGACGATGTCCAGGGCCTGTGCTGACGCACACGCACACGCACCCATTAACGACATGTACTGTACCCACATGGGTGGACTTCCACGCCAGGATGGATGCCCGCACTTTATGTATCGCATCAGCATGGGAGAGAGAAGTGTACACGAGGGTAGTGGGCCACAGGACCGTCACGCACTTCTTAAAACCTCCTCCCTCCCTCCCCTCCTCCCATCACGCACATGGCATCAGATTCGTCTCACGCAGCATAAGTCTGACTGCATAGGTGTGTGGGTGTGTGGGTGTGTGGGTGTGTGGGAGAGAACGACATCCATCATGTGTGGACACACCCGCATGTGTGCATGGCCGCATGGCACGCATCAACAAATCGGCAGCAAGTGTTCCCCTGCCCTCTCCCCCTCTCCCCCGCATCCATCCCGCTAAGCTAGGCTATCGGCAGCACACCTTCTTGGGGACCATGCCAGCTGCATGCAGCGACAACAACCGCACGTCCATGAACCGCTCGGCACCAGATGGCAACAGCTCCGGCCATGGATGCAACTATCCCAAGGTGGAATAGGACAACCATCCAAATATGTAATGTCGCCTTTTCTCCGCGTCTGTCATGTCGGCCACGCTCTCCTCTGCATTGAGAGCGAAAAAGATGATGCAGATGATGGCGAGCATTACACGCGCGAACAGTGTGGCCCCTCTGGCGCATTCGTTCACAGCCTACACACACGCGGACACACAGACAGAGGGGAAAGGAGAGCGGCACAGGGTCATGATGAGGAATGAACGGCGGATGCACTCACTTACAGGTACTGGCCACACGTCTCGCACTTCTGCAGGGACCGCACATATACATCACACACCACCGTGCTCATGAGAACGAGGAGAAAGAGACAGCACATGCACTAGTGGATACCTTGGTGACCTTGGTAGTGATGTCTTCCTGGTCCTCCTGGTCCTGCTGGTCCTGCGGCACCTCCGGCAGCTCTCGGTCTTCCTCCTCTTCATCGACAGCGGCATTTGAGAGCTGCTCCAGCTCCTCTCCAGCCGCCTCAGGCTGCATACAACCAGACCAAATGAAGGCATCCGCGTCGTTCATCACTCATGTTGCTGTTTGGTGTATTTTTGCCTCTTCATTGAGTTGCTCGTCTTCTTCGATGGTTGGCACGGCCGGCCGCCACTGTCTCTGAACACCATCAAGGAGCGACGTATGTGTCTGAGTGACATGACACGCTACAATACATACCTCGGTCCGTCGCTTGCTGGGCGACGACGCCAACGCGTCCTGCATACACACATGCACACACACATGCGTCCCTTGTTCATGGCCCTGCCTCCCGTCCTTTGCTCCTTCATGGCTTCTTGGATGTGCGCGCTGCAATCGAAGGGATACATAGCGGCACAGACAGACAATGCCGTGTTGATGATGCATGTAAGAAGGTTGGCAGCTCTTACTGACTTGCGGGGCCCTTGGCCCGTAGCCTTGGGCATCAGGCGTTGCCAACCTTCTCAATCAGCGGCATCCTCCACCTGTCTACAATTTGGCAATACCAAAAATGTAGACAACGATTTCGCCCCCCACTGCCTGCAGACGGACAAGTATCTCAGTACTGTACATGTCTCTGTCTGGTATGAGGTTGTCCCACAGCACGTTGTTGTAGATGGGTCGGGGGATGAGCAGCGGCAGGGTGTAGAAGAGCATGTAGGCCGTGGCGCATCCGTTGACGCGATTGTCCAGCTTGTCGACGTCGAATTTGCTCACCACGGCGGTGAGCCAGCATCTGACCACACACAAAGGTGCCTCACCTTCTGTGCCAGAACCGCACGTCCACGCAAACGCTTCTTACCATGTGGCAGTGTGCGTGGGGTGCGGGTGCTGATGGGGAGCGGCCCCAGCGCGCGGACCTGATGTAACGAATGGACAACACACACACACACACACACTCTCTCTCTCCATGGCTTGGCTGTCTATGGACGAGTCCATGTACCTTGGCGAGATACGTGGCCTGGATCTGGTGCATGTTTTTGGTGTACTTCGCCTGGCTCTCGGCCATCTTGAACGCTATGGCCGACTGCTTGTCTGTGCCGACCCAGACAGCCTCAGCGTGTACCCATGCACCATCCATGTGAACGCATACATGCATCTTACCTTCAACATGGTGGCAAACGGCGAGTGGCGTGGGTGCCGGCCACGCACTCAACACCGGCACAGGGGCAATCTACCGAACGGGAGTGACGTGTGTGCAAGACAACACATGCACTATTGCATACCTTGTTGGTGGGTGTCGTAATCTTGGTCTGTTGGTGCTGCTTGGTGTCGACTTGCAGCGATCCCTGCGCGCGCACACACACACACACACATGAAGGAGGACCACGAGAGCTTCAGTGGGTGTGCGGGTCTTCAGTGGGTGACACACCTGACTAGTGAGGAGAGACGGATCCAACTTCTGGATGTCGATGTCCAATGACCTCGAACGCTGTCAAGACACCAAAACGAGGTTTATTGGCCAGCAGATGCGTGGGCGTCTTCTCGAGCACTTCATTGACCCACCTGGCTGACGAACAGAGATGATCCCGACCGCTGGTTGTCCATATCAAACGACCTAGAGCGCTGCAATGCAACCAACACACACATTCAGTGCAGTGCAGTGCGTGCGGCTTTTGCCTTTCATCTTTCTTTGGTGAACACACCTGAGGGCCGACAGTGGTGGCTTGTGAGAACTGCAATGCGAAGGCCGCACACAGATACATCCACACACATGCAGACAGAAACATGATCATCCGGAACGTCAGCGTCTCTGTCTGTCGGCCAGTTTGCTTACGCGGCGCGCCTCGGCCGTGCCGTGAAGTATCTTCTTGGGCTCGCCACCGTCGTCCTCGTACGATGCCTGCTCCTGCATAGACACACACCACGACACACATGGGAGGGCCTCACGCGTGTGGATGAGAAGAGAGAGAGAGATGCCACACACACTCGTGGGTACCTGGATTGTCGGCTGCTGCTGCTGCTCCTCGGTCTCGGTCAGACGGATGGTCACGAACTGCTGGTACTGGCGAGCTGCACAGTGCCAAACAGCAGAGACCGCACACATTCATGTGTGCCTGTGTGTGTGTGTGTGTGTGTATGCGCGTACCCACGGCCGCCTCTTGGATGGCCGTCGCCATTGCCCTGGCCTTGGTGCAAGCGTCGGCCGCGTTGCCGTAGATGACCGCCAACGTCTTCTTCGGCATCTCTCGCCACACTGCACACGTGAATCACACGCACAACACGTCACCTCTCACTCGTGTGTGTGTGTCTGTATGTGTCGGTGTGTAGACATGCGTACGGATGTCTCGCTCCATGAGCGCCCTCCTCCCGGCTGCATCCATCCATCGAAAGCAGGACAAACAGACAGACAGGGGCCATCTAATGGTTTGTACGCGACATGTGTGCCCGGATGCCTTACTTGCTGTCCATTCGTCTGCTCACTTCCACTCCTACTGCTGCCGAGCTCAACTGTCGGCGTCTCCATTGCACGCCGGCGCGTTCAGGAGGTGCGTGAGGGTCGAAAGAAGATGCCGATGAATATAAAATGTAGGCAACGATCTTGTGACCCCGACTCCCTGCAGAGTCAGATGCAGACGGACAACTATCTCGATACGTACCAAGAACATGTTACTCACATTGGAGAAAGCCCCTCTCGCCTCTCTGAGCCCGTGTGATGAGTTACCAGCCCTCCTGGCTGCGGCGCCCGTCACTTCTGGCCTACTGGTGCTGTGTGGGGTGCTCCTCACCTGTGTGGTGGTCCCTGGACGCGTCGTCGAGTGTTTTTTCGACGTCTGGGAGAGAGTGGGATCCGGAGAGGAACGTTGGGAACAATGGTTTGCCCGAATGCACCCGATGGGTGCGAAAAAACAAAAGAAAGGGGCGAAAAACAACAGAAAGGAGCCAAAAGCCGAAGATGGGTTCGCAGACCTGACCAGGCCAACACACATAACGCACACACAGACGACCGTCAGACGTCAGCAGACGCATGAGTGAATTGAATGTGCTGATGGATGGGATGAATACCCGCCTCTTCGTCGAACTTGGCCGGCCGCTCCGCCAGCAACGCTGCCGTCACCTGTGAAAGGAACCGACGCACAAACAAAGGAACACCAACCATGTGCGCAGACCACTGCATGTCATTGTGTCGTCATGCGTCCGGCCTCCAAGCGCTGTCTACGTCTCGCCGCCTTCTCTGCGTGCAGAAGAACACGAGCAGCAGACACAATGCATCACATGTAGAAGGGTCGTTGTGTGTCTACTTGTACCCTTGTCGAGTTCCATCTCCCTCTTGAAAGTGTCGACGATGATGCCCTGCAGCACGGCTACATACCCTGTACACGGAGGGCGAGAGCGGGCAAGGCAGCATTCACGACACACTGAATGGTGAGCACTGTCCTGACTGACGCCACTGACCCTTCCAGCTGTGGTCCATGACACAGACACATGCATACGCAAATGTCTGTCTATGCGCCGCAGCAGATTTGGCGGCCTGCACACGCACAGGCAACGACAGAGGTCATTGCGAGATGGGTGTGGCACCTGTATGCGTGCATGTATGAGTGAGTGCAAGTTACAGGTGGGGATCTTGTAGGTCTCCGGCGGCGACAGCTGACCAAACGGGAGAGAGAGGCAGGTGAGTGTGCGTCACACATTGTGCAGAGGTCAATGGGGTCTGCTCACTGACCACGGCAGGGTAGGTGATCGTGGTCCTAGACATCTGGCGCAGGAACTGACGGGACAAAAGGAAGCACATGCATACATTCGTCGTGTGACAAGTGTGCGTGTGCTTACTGGGGCCTTGCACACGTCGGGCATCGTTGTGACCTTGACGAGCCGCGGAGCCAGACACTGAACACAGAACAGCGAGAGGGCGTGTGTGTATGCACCACTCACCCACCCACCCAATCAATTGTGTTAACTAACGCTTAGTCCGCTCACCACTGGCGGATACACGACGTAGCCAACTGTCCTTCTAAACACCCTCTGACACACAACAAGAAGGAAATGCATGCACACATGCATCCTGCGTGTGTGTGTGTGTGTGACCACTGACAGCCCGCTCACCACGTGGGCCGTGGGCTCGTGCAGCTGCGTCACCTTCTGGGCCACCTCATGCGTCACCTGGCGGCAGCACAGGACACATGTATCCATGAACAGGAAACACGCATCCTCACGGGTATGTACCTGGGTGCTACTTGTGTCGTGGACCACTGCCGACTTGACCAGTGCCGACTGGATGATGGCCTCGACGGCAGCCTTGGCGGTCTCAATGGCAGAAGCTGCACACAGACAGATCCAAGCACGAACAAAGAGGGCATCGATGCACTCGTATGCACACTGTGGTCATGCCTGCATACCCTTCGCAGTGATGCTTCAACCGCCGCCGCGACAACGGTCTTGGCCGTCTCGATGGCCGCTGCACGCAGGAAAAGACAACAGATCAACCCATTACATGTTGGATGAATGGATGCACTGTATATATGTGTATGCAATGCGCGACTCAGGCATACCAGCACGATAGACCGCCTCCAGTGCCTTCAGGATCGCTAAGTCGACCAGCGCCTTGGCCTCTGCCAAGAATGCATCAACAGCAGGGAGGGAGGAACCACACGTATGTATGTATCGATGCAGCACCCTTTGCGGCTTCCTGCGTCTCAATGCACACGTACGTACCATGCTGGCGCTCTGTCTCCAGCTGGTGTTGGTCCTCAGTGTCGACATGGCGGAACGACACCTGCTGCCGACACATTGACTTACACAGGGAGCGAGAAGCATGGATGTGTGCATGGGATGTGACGCCACGAGCACCACCGCCACAAGTGCATCGCATACCTTTCCGACGACGTCCTGCTGGTGGTGGTGGTGGTGGTGGGTGGGGTCGAGTGACGCTGCAGACGACGCACACCAGCACACAGACAGAAATGAGGTTGGTTGCCGCCAAGAGACGAGTGTGGGCCGTCGACGCACCTGGCTAGAGAAGGAGGTCTGGTGGTGGTTGAACGACTCGGCAGACCCCTGCAACGCAACGCACAGAGAGCAAGTCAGTCAAGGCACGTCAGCCAGCCGATTGCCTCTCTTTGTCCCTCGTCGATGCTCGCGTACCTGCGGGGCTATCGTGCTGGCCTTGGACCCCTGAACACGCAGGAATACACAGACCAGACACACGCATACACAACACAAGGCAACAAGTGCCACGGGTGTGTGTGTTGGCTGCCTGCTCTCTTCTCTTGTTCTTACGCGTCTGCCGTCTGCGGGCTTCCTGTTGTCCTTGTTGGTGTCCGTCGAAGTGTTGTCCCTCTCAACCGCTGCTGCACACAAGGCCACAGCAGATATGTAGTGAGTCAGACAATCTCAAGTAAGGTGTGTGTGTGTGCTTCCAAAGGCGTGGATACCCGCGTCACTCTCGCTGGCGTCTGCGATGGCCGCTGCTATGGAAGCTGCACACATTCCGACAGCAGGCAGAGACGACACATCGGGTGAATGTCTGTATGTCTGTAAGTCTATGTGTGTGTTCATCAGATCTTCCTTGCACACCGGTGTGGATGCCTTGCAACCACAGGACGAAGCCGAGGAACCATCGCACGGGGCCGCCGCTCGTCGCCTTCCTGAACTCGTCGAGCACCGTAGCCGCTGCATACATACAATCCAACAGCAGACAGTGACAACCAGACACACGGCCTCATCGATCCACCACCCCCCTTGTATTCATGTGATCATGCACCAAGTGTACGTACCCTCTGTCGCCGTCAGGACGTCCTGCACAAATCACACACGCAGAGACACCAGACAACACGCAATGGACAGCCACTGGCAGATCCATCCCTTGAAATGGACCCCTCGCCGCCCTCTCTGCCCAGCCTGCCATTCTGCCTTCTCTCTGCCCCTCAACACGCCTCTCACGCCCGTGTGACCACCTGCATTCTTGGCTGCCTGGTGTGCGACTGCGAGATGGATTACGCATGGCAGCCTTACCATCCCAGCACTGAGCTGCCTCTCCTGACCTACACTCACTGTCTGTGCCGTACCTCATCGTGCGTGGGTGCGCGTGGGAGAGGGACGGGGAACCCACGAACAGTCTCTGCTATCGAGCTTGGGCTGCATCTGAAGTCAACAACCAACACAAAAACAGACAAGTGCAGTGCCACGCAAAGGTAACGTCGCTTTCTCAATCGCCATCTTCGTGGCGCTTAGTAGGGATGAATGTCTGGTGAGGGCGAGGGCGAAAATCCCGGGCGTGGGCGTCAATTGGTCTGAAAAGCAACGCGAATCGTGACCAAACGGAAAACCCACCCCCACATCGGAGGCCCCAGTAAACGTAACTTACCGGGAGGAGAAGGGGGAAGGAAAGGAGGCGCGAAGGGAAGAAGGCAATGAAGCTGGAATGGAAGCGGTTTGGAGCGGACTGGTGTGGTCAAAACGGTTTGTCGCCCGTCTCCGTCGATTATTAATTTCTCACCTCTGGATTGCCTTTGCCCCCCCATTTCCCGTTGATTCAGCGATGCAGGCGGGTCGGCGGTAGACGATGAGTAGTCTGCAGGACGCCAGAGACAGAACTTCAAAACGTTTCTGTCTGACACCGAAGCCAGGGCAGCACCCTCTCTCTCTCTCTCTGTCTCTCTCTCTCTGTCTCTCTCAGATAAGACCTGCAGCATTCGGAGGGTTGACGGCTTTAGTAGAGCAACAGCACAGCAAAGGGTCTAACAGTCTGGCATCGCCGGCCTGTTTGAAGAAAAATACGAAGAAGACAAAAAAGACAAAAGGTCGTTCTGTTTTCGTCTCCAGGCTCCAAAAAGCGGCGGGAGGAGGCGGCGGGCAGCCTACCAAGGCAAAGCACTTGCCTGCATGTCTCCTACGATCCACGAGTCGGCGTCGATGGCCAGAGACGGGATGTCTTGATTGAAATCTGACGAGAAAAGACAACATTGAATCTTCCAAGTCGGATACCATGGAAGACACCATTTGGAGGGGCGTGCAGGTGGCTTGCACCCTATACAGCGCATACACATGTCAGCAAACTCGCACTCATCAACTCGCGCACTCATCCACTCACCTGTCACTGAGAGGTGGTTGGCCGACTGACCAACGAAAGAGCGCCTCTTGCACGAGCGTGCCGACACCAGCGGGGCATTGCCACCCGTCACTGGTAAGCCGAAGGAGGAGGACGGCTGCCGACGAGGGCGCAAAGGGACTGGATTGTCGGGGAGATAGACGGCGGGTAGGGAGGGCCATGGGAGGCCGACGCGGGGCGAATGCGGTGGTGCAACGAGGAAGCCGACACAAAGCCAACACAAACGAAAGGAGCGGTGAACGGGAGAAGGCAACGAGGCTGGAATGGAAGCGAATTGGAGCTGTAGCATAAAAAAATTTGTCGGGCGTCTCCCCGTCGAGATTTACATTCTCGCCATTTTTCTCTTCCCCCCCCAATTTCGGCACTGATGAGGCCATCCAAAGCTTTGTGCCCCATCGGGGCAAGACATGGCCCGAAATAGGAGCGTACTGCAAGTGGGAGGCGTGGCTGCCCTCTTGTCTGCGCCATTTATGTCAGTCGACCACCAACAAGAGCAAGAGTCAATGTATTGCACCCTTCCCTGCAGCAAGTGCACCTGCGTTTGTGTCTTGACACGTATTGCACATGTCTGCCCTGCCAGGTGGGTGTTTCTCTCTCAAATACAAGTCAGTCCACAAAATACAGCTCACTCCATGCCAGACCACACAAATCATCCATCCATCCATCCATGTAAGAAGGTCAGTACACGATGACAAACAGCAGGCACCCAGAAGCACTTAAGACTTGCTTTCCCTCCAGCCTGCTTTCCCTAGCTGCTGCTCTCGCCGCCGTCCTCTCATCGGTGATCGGCCAGCGGCAATCACATGACAAAGGAATACAGACGGGATGAATTTTGACATGACAATCGGTGTGATGTCATGTTATGTGTGTGACAAAGGCAGTGAGTGAGTGATGCCATCCGTCCACTCCACTTACAGTACAGTCAGTGACAGCACAGCCGTCCCCCCGTGTGTTTCCGTTCAGCAGCAGCACTTTCGGCTCCGACCTGTATACACACACACATGATTGAACACACGTGTTCATCAGATACATACATACTGCGAGCGCCGAGCGGGCCCATGTGTGGCTACTTACGTGGCGGATAGCGACGCCCCCACCAGCAGCAACGGTCGCAGCAATTGTCGCCGGGCGGGCCTCCCCCGCCACCACCACCGTCTCGGTCACACCAGCAGACGCACAGCAACCGCACACAGCAACACTCATCCGTAGCGACATCCGGTTCCGCCACAGCAACTGCGTGTAGCTGACACACACACACGCGCGCACGCACACACACACACAGGTACGTGTTGTGTTGGATTCATGTATCTTTTTCCAGCCAGACAAACAAGTACCATGGGCATTGGTTGGCGAGAACTCTCCTGCTGAGGCGCCGCGCGCGGAACATGGTAGTAAATCGGGGCCGCAACCTGACGTCACACAGGAGTGTGTGAGGTCACTCATGATGCCATCTTGGCCGTCTTGTGTCTACCTGCTGATAAGCCGGTGGCCAGTAAGTGGTTCTGTAGGTGGGGCGTGTGGCGGTGAAGGGCTGCGAAGACACCTGTACCTGCACACACGACCAGCACCGAGACGAGAGATCTCTCCTCACCATTCACACGCAGTTTCTTGTCCATTGACCTGCTGCTCTGGCCCTCGTGTCAGTCCCTCAGTCACCTCCTGACCATACAGTGCCATACAACAGACATTCTGTAGGGAAAGCACAAAACCGCTCTGTACCACTTCGAGCATCTGTGTCCGAATGTTGGTGCCATGGTGAACATCCGCCTGTGTCGCATATGCCAACGGCGGTGTGCGGGGGATCGGTGGCGTGAGACGTTCTTGAGGCAACGTTGACACTGGCAGACAGACGCAGACGCAGAAGCAGAAAACAACATGAGTGCGCTCAACATTCACGTGTTTGCTATGTGTCCTCACGTTGCGGCGATGGCACGTAGCTTTCCACCACCGATGGTTGCTCGCGGACAGCCAACATACCTACACACGCACACCACGGGGCCAATGAGTCCAACAAGAGGGTCTGCCTCCTTCTGTCGTTCTCTCTTCCTCGCTGCTGTGGCCTCTCCTGACGTGCAAATGGGAGTCAATGACTATGGGAACAGGCAAGGGGACCAGAACGACGCGCCACAGAAGGCGAAATTGGGACGGCTGGAAATTGGAGATGCGGAGATCGTGCGAGCTTGAAAGAGGCGAGCTGACAGAGATCGCCCTGGCAAAGGAACGCGACGGGAGCAGCTTGCGAACTAAATATCGGGCCGGGGCAACTGGTGAGCGTGTGATTCTCTTTCAGATGAATGAATCATTGATTCTCTTTCAGACCCCGCAAGCGTGTGTGATGGACGCCCACAACTGGAAGCCCACAGCGGTAAGCAAGGACGGGTTGCCTCCGGATCCAAATCGTTGATTGTTGATTGTCCGGCTCGGAGGCCGTCAGGAGTCCGGCAGCAGTTGACAGGGAGGGTTAGGGAGAGAAGAAGGAACTGTCCAAGCCCTCAACAGTGGTAGGACACCAGCTCAGTGATTCGTCATTCGGGTGGACCATCGTCATGTTTGTACTTGGCATACCGGTTGTGCCAGCAGCAGCAAGAACACGCCACCACACAGGCACCCACCCAGGTATTGAATGAATGAATGCCTAGCACCAAGATCTTTCGATGGGTTGCGTCATGATGCAGATCCGACGCTGGGAGCCGGCAGAAGCTCTAGCTGAGGAGAAGGAGCAGAAGCAAGAGCCGCCCCAGCCAACGGTAGGACACCAGCCCAGGAACATGCCACCCCAGCAGGAGTTGCCTGCCCCGCCCACCGCCCAGCAGCAGCAGAGCTACGCCTCCACATCAAGCGCAACCAAGGGGACGGGCGAGCAATATACTTTTGCTCCTTGTGTGGGTTGTAATGCGATGCGTGTATGCACGCGTCGGATGGTGCAGCAAGTGACGACGACGACGGCCTTCTGCTGCCCGAGCCCACGGTAGGTCGTTGGGTCAGGAATGTGTCACGTACAATGGCCCCCCCCCCCCCCCCCCCCCCCCCCCCCCA